TCTAAACACAACAGCCGTATTCTCAAACACATCTCAAATAATATCACCGTTCAATAACGGAACTAGCAAACCGACAACAAGCATCCTCTTAGTGCCGCCCAAGTACCTAAATACGTTAAACTATATGAGCCGGGTTAAATGTTTCGGCACTTTCCTCGCGATTTGCGATCTCCTTACGTCCGGGTGTCCATTTCCGTTTTCACGCCGACGTCATTTTCGAGAAAAAATCCGGACGACATTGTCATCGGTCGCGTTTTAAGAAACTGCTGGAGACTGCCGATCGCTACACGCGCACACACGTTGGGTGCTATTAATAAATTCCTTGACAGTCCTACGCGACCGTTCATTTTTGTTTTCTGTACCCGATATAGTCCAGTCCCGACGCCGCCGTACCGGGTGGCCCACTCGGCACAATCAAAATCGCAACTCGTTATAACGCGAGCAAAAATATAGCGCATCTATTGTTTTCACATTTTAAGTATTTTACAGACCTTCGCAGGACCGTGGCAAAACCCATCCCAAAAGATGTTTATTCTGCATTAAGTAGGTCTTGCCTGAGATGGACCGTAACAACATTCCTCTTCTTGTATTTTTATGTCCTCTGCATAGTTCTTCGATATATACAGATAAATATTCATTAGAATCTTACAATTATAATTTTTTTGAATGTTCATGTTTATTAACACTTTAAAATGTGGAAACCGTGGAATGAAGCAGATGTTCCCCTGTTAGAAGAAGACATGGAAAACAACGCAGAATTTGAAGACGAAGTGGAGATGGTAGTCGAACCTAATTTATATCTCAGAGCGGAAAAACGATATTGCCGTGCCGTTTCCACTACTTGCTGCATTTTTCTTATGCTCTTTCATTCTAGCTAAAATTATTTATACCATTATATTTGAAATTTTCGAGGAAATCATAAAAATAGCTGTTTTTGACATGAAGCTCCCATCAATACTCTTTAAAACTAAAATAAGTTCATCGAAATCGGATTAGCCAAAAAAAAAAAAGGATTTGACTTTTTCTAAACCAATATTTGACCCTTCCCCCACCCTTAATTTGACGGGATGGAAAAAAATAGTTCAAACAAAAAAGTTTCCTTATCTAGAGTAGATTACTTTAAAACTAATTTGGTTATAAGTTAATTTGGAATATTTTTGGAAAAAAATGTTTTTTCAATTTTTCAGTAGAGCTTACGCCCCCTGGCGGCCATTTCACGAGCTTCAAAATAATTTCCAGCTTTTTCCTGGGCCGATTTACCTATAAATATGGTTTTTTCTAAGTTGTAGGTTATTAACGGACCACCCAGTACAATACGCGGCCACTAGATGTCGTTAACGCTTTGACTGCCACGCTGATTTTTAAATTTTATTGCCTGAGGCCAAGTGTGCGATTTCGAATATACTGTTGTGTTAGCGGCTTCTGTGCACTTTGATGAACTTCTATAGTACATTTTTCGAAAAAAAAAATATTTTTTTTGTTTTTTTTAGGGGTATCGCTAGGTATTATTTGAAAGTGTAAGTGTTGAAAAACATAAAAACAATGGCCAATAAACATCTAACGGACGCTTGGTTAGCTGCGGCTCTTGAAGAAGATGATGACGTTTACATTAATTATTAAGAAACAAAATGATATTACCCATTTTTCTCGTTTATAGCGAAATGAAATGAAATGAAATGAGACAGTTCATTGGATTGGTGGGAGAAAGTTCCAGAGCTTAGCAACTATTGGTCTACAAGCAAAAGATTTTCCTTTCACCTACCTACAAACACTATGCTACGAAACCGCTTTGAGATGCTGCTGAGATTTTGGCATTTTGCTGATAACGACCAAGCAGTTCCTAGAAACCGGACACATAAATTAGACGACGTTTTCGATAAATTTGTTCCAAACTTCAAAAGCGCCTACGTACCGGGACAAAAAGTTTGCATTGATGAAACTATGGTGGCTGTATGAGGCCGCCTTAGTTTGCGTAACCTTGAAATTGATCGAGGACCTATTAGAGGAAGGTATGTAGACAACTTCTACACCAGCGTGCCTCTAGCTTATGAACTGCTTAAAAAACAAACGCACCTCGTGGGTACGTTACGCTCCAATCGAAAATTTATTCCTCAAGGGATAAAGAATGACAAATTAGGAAGACGCGAAATCATTTGCAAAGAAGATATAATAAGTGGTACCGCACTGGTAAACGCACACTTTTTATACAATCTCAATTCAGTAAACCCAAATTCAGTAAACATAACAACCTTTAGACAAAACGTGGTTTCGTCGCTGCCAGAAATACCAACTTTCCCTGATGACCAAACTGCCCCAACTACAAGTAGGAGAACAGAAAAAAGGAGCTAGATGTTCTAGCTACTACCAGTCGGGGTAAAAGAAATAGCTTCTCAGGTTATCACTGTTTGTAATCAATGCTTAGGGTGCCCTCATTTTTGTAAGATTGGTTTTAGCAAAAATCACTAAGAATGATGATCAGTTGTTTTATTTTATTTATAATTACTATCTTCCGAGCTTAGGAATATAATATTTTTTAAGGATTTTTAGTTTTTTGAATAATAATAACAATATTTTTCTAATGATTTTTTGATTATAAGTGTTTTTATGTATTAAATTACATAAAACTACTATGCTAGCAAAAAATTATTTCTTTTGTAAAATAAGTCCATATTTTTTTTGCGATTGTCTTAAGACTTCTATCGAAATTCCCGCTACAGGTTTAACACAGTCGTACACGGTTTTACGTAAAAATTAATCATCCGTTTCGCTTTATCAGCGATGGAATGTCGCGATTTCCAAAATTTTATTTTTAGCCTGGCACAATCCAGTGATAAGAATATTAATTCTTTTAGGAACAGCAAAAGTAAATAAATCTTTCTAGTTAGTGGATTTTTCTGTTGTTCGTGTTAATTAAGAGAACCAAAAATTTGACTCCGTTAAGCCCAATTTTTGCAATTGATCATGTATACCTCTCAAAATATTTATGTTTGTTTGTTTATTTAAGTTGCACTTTGCGAAACATTTTTAAAAACCGGATTTCGTATCAAGAATGTTAATTTTCAATTTCTGCACGTCATAACTTTTACCTGGGAAGTACACAAAATTTCGAGATTTCTTATGATATAAAAATCTTTGAATTTAAATGGCAAGGTCATATTTTGGATTTTTTTAATTTGCGAAGAGGGAAAAAAATAGGAAAACCTCAAGTTTTCCCCACTTAAAAAATTTGCTGTATTTTATATATGATGACACCGAATATACAGGGTGTCCCCCGATGAGGTACGGTATCAGGGAGGCCTGACACACTTTTTTAAAATAGAGAACAAATCTATTGTTCTGAATAAAGAATAAATTCAACGATATGAGTTTCTTATAACATTAGACGGGGTTCGGCATATTATAATATTATATATATTTTAACCTAAAATATACAAAAAAAATAAAGACATGCATTTTAGGAACAAAGTTATATTCCACACTAAAATTTAAAAAAATAAAATGATATTTAAAGTGATAATAAAATGTTACTATTTATCTTTGGTTATTTGCTGATATTTTTATATTTTTTTGTTTTATGTTTGTTAATTATTTTTAAATATTTAGTGTTACCAGTGACTTTTCCATTAAAAATTGCGGTTAATCACTGAGAAGTAAAATTTGGAAAACCATTTGAAAATGAATAAAACGTTTTGTTTGACAAACCAATTTATTTCTAATAATCGCAAACAATTTTTATTTTTGTTAACTAATCAAAACAATTTTTGTTTTCTTTCGTTTAATTAACCAAAACCAAAAAAAATATTTCAGGTTGAAACTGCTAACTTGTCAAATAATTTGATTTTCAATGTTATTCTTCTTATTTTTAATTTTAATAACTTTTATAACATTTATCTATTACACTTTATTTAATTTATCAATGTATTTATAACTTCCTATTTAGTTTCCAATTTGAACATTTAAGAGTTTAAGTGGAGTAGCTTTTGCTAGACTTCTACTCTATATACTGTATATAACAATATACAACAATAAAGGCAATTTATTATTATTATTAATACATACGAAAAATATCGACTAAACTCTACTCAATAACGACTCAGGTCTCTATCTGTCACCAATATGGGAATCAAGGAAGGTCAAACAAGTGTTCGTCGAATCCTGCATGATCATTTAGGTATGCACAAGTGTGTGCGGTCTTTTTTGAAACTCTGTGGGTCGGAACCGAAGCCTGTGATAGAAACTATTGTGACGGGAGATGAAACTATCGAAAAAAGAACCAGTGGAGTGGCGTCGTAAGGGTGAAGCACCTCCAAGAAGATTCAGAGTCTGCCAGTCAACAAAAAAGATGATGGCCACGATCTTTTGGGATTGTGAAGGAATTCTTTTGATAGATTTTAAAGAAACTAGTACCACTGTCAATGGTAAATATTACGCAACATTATTACATAAATTGCCCGACTACTTAAGTGTAAAACGTCGGTGTGCTGGTGTTGCACAAGCTGCCATTTTAGAGTGTGGGTTCCAACAGATAGACCATCCTCCCTATAGTCCAGATATGGCCCCCGGCGACTATTATTTGTTTGGATATTGGAAAAAGGACTTACGTGGTTCAACGACGAAGTTGAGTGAAAAACCAAAAGAATATTTTTTTAAAGGGATTGAGTTGTTAATAAAGAGATGTATTAAGTGTATTGAAGTTAAGGGGGATTATATTGAAAAATAATAAAAAATTGTTCCTCTACTTTGTTTCTTTCACATTCAGGACGGGAAATTTTGGCGCTGCCCTCGTATATAAGAAGGTATGGAGTGGAATGCCAGTTAGTGTCGGTTAAGCTCCGATTAAGCTCAGATTAAAGATTTGTAAATAAGATTTGAATTAGTCCCAGCTATGACACTACTAGGTGTAACCATGGTTAGAAATGGTCGTAGAGAACGAATTTAAAATATCAATTAAGCCCCCCGGTGGCGTTTTACGCCGATTTTAAGGAAAAAATCCAACTCACCCAACACGGACTTCTCGTTACTCTCCTGCTCTTGCTTCTCCTGTTCCGACTTGAGCTTGCTCGGGCTGCTCGGCGGACTGAGGGAAGAGAGACTGCCCGACGTAGCGGACAGACTCTCTTTGCTCGCGTCATTGTCCTCCAACGGCGACTTCGGGGCGCACTCCTCTTTAAACAGGCATTTCGGGACGAAATCGCGTTTGATCGCCGGCGTGTCGTCCCTATCTGGAGAATTCTCGCGTTTGGGTGGCGATACGATGAGACTCGAACGTTTCTCCTTGACGCAAACGTTCGTCGGACTAGTGGTAGTCGGTATCACGGAGGCCGGTCTTTCTTTCCTCACCGCGTTCGGTCTCCTCGACGCCTCAGTACGAACGGGAGGCGACGGCGGTGAAGTGGGCGGACTCTTCAACCTCGCGCTAGTGAACGAAGCGCTCCTGGCGGCCGCCGTCGACACTTCCGTTTTGTCGACGCCCACTTTAACCTCCCCCTTGTTCGGGTCACTGCCGTACCTGGAGTTCCGCGTCTTGGAGAAGTGAGACGTCCAGTTCTTCTGTCGCTCGATCAGCTCCTTGCTGTTAAACTTCCGTTCCGGTTTCTCCGGTTTGTCAGGCTTGATCCTCGCCGCTCCGTTGCTCCCGCCGAAGCCGTTCGTCTTCTTGGAGTCGTCTCGGAGTTTCTGAGGCGACGGAGAACGCGAATCATGCGATTTCGAGTCGCGGGTCTCGCTGTTGGCCGAGCTGCTCCTCGATCTGCCGTCGGCGATGGTCGAAGAGCTCTTGGTGGTCTGGATACGATGGTGGGGTTTGTTCTCCTCGCCCAGCTTCTCGAACATGGCCCTGGCGTTGTTGAACCTGGTGACGTGCGACTCGGTCCGCATCACAGTCACTGTCGGTGAATCGGCGTCCGCCGCCGCCGCCATTTTGCATTTCTTGAGGTGCGCCGCGGAGTCATCCCTCTGAAGTGGCCCCCTCGCCTGGAAGATGTTCGCTATTTCCGAAACCTTGGATCCGCCGTGACGCGGGCCTTTCTTGTCGTCCATCGCCTCGCACTGTATACCCTGAAATACAGACATATGGATGCGATAAACTTGGCAACGTTTACCCGACCAATCCGCAATCTGTAACAGGGAGCAAGCTGTTTTTGAAGGATATAATACGACCAAAAATATAGTGCACTTATGTCACCTTACCTTGCGTGAGATGGACCGTAACGAATATTTGTGGAAACATGAAATTTATTTGTTTTAACATCAGGTGATATGTATTGTTCTTAAGAGTTTAATCTAAATCGCAATATATTCGTATAAATTACGGAGGTATTTGTCTGCGATCCTTCCAGTAAGTACGTATGTATGTACACCGTGTGCCAAATAAAACGATCCGGATCTGGAAACCCATACGAAAAAAAGTTTCCCGGATTCTCCAGAAGATTTAAAATATTACAATTTTGTTGATACAAAGTATTGAAAATATATTACAGTATCACCATATTTAAGTTTTTCTGTAATTATTTGATTCTGTTTTTTTTGTTTTTTTGTTTTATAGATTTATTTATTCAAATTTGTTACCTTGCTTAGTTGGCCTACAAAATTTAATTATTTATTTCTGTTTTTAAATTCGCTTTTAAAATAATGTTTCTTTCAATATGAATTCTGAAGTTTTATTAAATCTGTTAAAGTGTGTAGTGTATAGTCGATTTTTTTCAATATTAATATATCCAAAAGTAAGTAAAACCAATTTTTTGTCATAGAATTGATATCTGAATAAAAACATGCCGTGTTCCGTTTAAAAATCTTGAGGTTATGTTAATTTAATTCGCCAAAACGGCACCACCTATTTGGGACACCCTGTATAAGATGAGGCGCATCTGTCAAACTGATTTTAGTAATACATCATCTCCTTCGTCTGTGGTTAAATTTTCGTTGCAATACTTGGATCAGTAGCTTCATAACACAATTTTATATAGGGCAATTAAAATATGAAAAGAAAACACGTAACCTCAGTTTCTGCGTAAACTATGCAAAATCTATTTGCATCTATTTTAACAAAGGATTCCAAAAATGTCGGAGAATCTAAGAAACTGGAAAGTTTTGTACGAAACTTTTTTTCCAGATCATATAGTGCATCGTTGTATATGGCACATAGTGTATCTGATTCTCGAGCTTTCACCCTTTGACCAAAGTTCCGAAGTTAACTAACTGTAAGAAAAATTATTGCAAATGGGACAGTCAAGAGGAAAGTGAAATATTTGAGGATTGGATTGAAAATAAACTATCGCCAAATACTCTCATTGTGTTGGATAATGCGTCGTATCATTCAGCCTAAATTAGAAAAATAAAGAGAACGATTAGTGGCGGAGTTGATCATTGAAATTACGACAATAGTGATGGTGACGACTGATTTTTTAAATGACTGATACTTTATTATTATTATATTTAATATTTTGTATATTAATAATGACACTATGTAGAAATGTAATTAAATAGCTATCACTATATTTCTGGTCGAAGTATAACAGGACTATATTAACCAAAGTTTACGTGCATACGACACCTTAGACGTTTACGCCGTACGGTAACAGCGTTTTTTTCATTATATTTTGACACCCACCTTCAGGGTGAATTTTGAAAGATAGAGAAAAAAAGGGCAAAAAAATTTCAAGATTTTTGCTCTATCATCTCATGCAAATGTCGGAAGTAACAAACGACGATCGCAAGCTGCCAAAATGACAGTAACATCGTTTTTTTTTAATGGAATGCCTTTATTATAATCTTCAATCGTAGATCTTTTTTCCTGATTTCAAAAACATATAGTTTATTGACATTTCATTTAGCCATTTTTGAGATATTTCAGTTTAAAAATAATTATCATTCGATATCTATGTCTGCAATTGTTGACAACTGATCAAAACTAAAGATCTGCAGCGTAAGTGAAATAACTTAAGTTATTTCAAATAGGTTATACTGAGGAAGCAGTAATAATTAATGCTAAACATATTCCTCATAACCTCCATTATTTTCTATACATCGGACAATATAATATAGGGTTTTCTCTGTTTAGATCTTGTAAAACGATATTACGTGATTCTCTTATCAATAATTGTAAACTTTCAGGCATTTAAGGGCATTCCTCCTAAAAAAACGATGTTGGTGTCATTTTGACAGCTTGCGACCGTCGTTTGTTTTTACTGACATTGGCATAAGATAATAGACCAAAAATCCTCAAACTTTTTTAGTGTTCACCTTTTTTTTATCTTAGAAAATTCACCCTGTAGGTCAAAATATAATGAACAACCCAGTACATTGTATTGTTCTGGAAATTCGGCTTGGATGAAGTCCAAGACATTGTCGTTTTAAATTCGAATACCGCTAATATATAACGATCCTTTTCAAATGATACATTTCTATGCCCATCTTCGGCGGTTTGCGTGAAAATAATTATTCCCTTCATTTTTCCGACCAATCATTTTTGTTATTAGAAAGTTCAATTTTTTTACTTAGCTAATCGTCAATTTAAATTTCGCCCAAATTCTTTACCAAATGTTTCAAACCTGCCCCTTTCTATAGAGAAAATTACGTAATCAAAGTTATAAATATAAACAATTCAATATAACACGCTGACGGACTTGGTTAAGGTGCAACCAAGCGATAGATTTCGGCATAACCTCAAATTCTCCAATTTTTGTTAATTATAGTTGCAACAGATATCAAATCAGATCACCTTAATATTTTTGTTTTTCTTTATTTTTCGTTCACTTAATTATGTTCTTTTTCTTCATCTATTACTTCGTTTTGTTCTTTCTCTTCAAAATTTTTTGTTTCGAATTATAATAAAATAAACTTAAAAAAAGATAAGTGAGTCTGTTGACTTCGAATATTTCTTAACCTTTACGGCATAACCTCAAATTTTCGAATTTATGTTAGTTATAATCGCTACATATACCGGATTAGATCAGTTTTAAATTTTACACATCTTAACCTTTCCAAACAATATCTCTTGTGTTATCTGGCGTAATTCAAAACTTCCGAAGTAAGATATAATAAAAACACGCTTGATATCTTTGTTTTGTTTTTTTTTGTTCAGTTAAATTTGTCTTTTCTCGTCGTCTATTTCTTCTTTTTGTTCTTCCTCTACAAAAATTTATGTTGTCAAATAGAGACAACCTATTTTTTATACCCTTGCATTACACCTTATATCTAATAACTTAAAAAATGCCACACGAGGTTGTTGATTTCGAATATTTCTCAAACTTGGTTGGTTGACATAACCTCAAATTTTCCGATTTTTCAGATTTTGGCCATTTCGAAAAATATTTTTTATTTTACCTGGCCATATTAATAAAACATTAATCTTCTGAAGCAAAAAATAATGAAAAGTACGCTTAACATTTTGTTTTTTTTTTTTAATTTTTGCACACTTAATTTTGTCCTTTCTCTTCGTTTATTATTTTTTTGGTGATTTCTCTTCAAAAAAATTTATTGTGAAATGGAAATCACCTATTTGTTATGCCTTTGCAGTACACCTTATATCTCATCTCATTTAATCACATACTAGATTTTTGGAAAATTTAATCTGTTTATTATTCACTGACGCTTTTATTTAATGGAAAGCGCTCAAAAACTTATTATAAATAACTTTTCTATATTTAGTTTCTTTTTGTGAACAACTTTTTAAAATAATTTTAGACAAATGTATGCTTAACTCTCATTTATACATAGAATACAATACACAGAAAGAATCTTAAAGAAAAAGTAAGTAAGGAAATAGTTGTTAGCGTCTTACTTAATAAGTAGCAAGTAGGTTCAATTATTATTTATTATTATTATTATTATTATTATTATTACTATTATTATTAAGACTTAACTTAAACTTAGTTATACTCATATTTGTATACAACGGTCTAAGAGCTAATTATATCCCATTGAATAAAAAAGAGACATTTTTTTACCTGTAATCTTCACCATTATTCGTCTAAAATTTGGTTTTTGTTCTTCTGATCGAACAACAACGTTGCACTTAGTGAGTCGAGCCTAAGACCGTTGCTAATGGCATATTCAGATATTTAATTCTGATCGATATTTACAGATCCGGAAGCCAGTTCACATCACATTAGTAGTAACAGAATTACATATACGATGACACTAAATATGTACAAATTATCAATATTTATCTAAATAAGAATAGCTTTCACGGAAATCAACCCACCCTTTGGATTTCGTGCGTGACTATTTTCTTATTCTTCTTCTTATTTTTCACGTTTCCTGGACTCGGGGAATAAAAGAAAAAACGGTATTTTGCACTGACTGACTGCAATTTAAGCAAATATGTTTTTTTAGAACGTTAGTTGTGTCAATATCTATCTAAACACTTTAATCACGAATTGTAAAAAATCCAATAATAAATGAAGTGTTTTTTTTTACATAAGGAAGTTAAGTGCTGACGATGTACCATTTATAATGCTTTTTTGATTTCACACTTCACTTTCATAAATGTATCTTCAACAACAACACAACAATTAACGGTTAAGAAAAGCTGATCAAATTGGTTGTAAACGTTTCGTAAGACACTATGAGCTTTTTGCATACGTTTAGCATTGCCTCGGAAACCAGCTTAAATATCAGCTAATGCGTACAGAAGTTATTTCAGCTACCACGCGAATCGATAAGCTAACAAGCAAAAAGAACCCGCGAGATGTAATTAATATGATGGTCTAATATTAGACTCGACCGACATTTAATTCGATAAGCAACACTAAATAACACGGGAATTAGGTTTCGAGCGTACATTTGTCGAAACATCCAGCATAACAAAACCCGTAAATCAGCCGAACTCATCGCAATTTTAGTTGTATTGTTTTCATTTACGTTGTTTAACCAAAATATGTTTTTCACCGCCTAACCAAAAAAGAAATCAATAGCACATGAAGTGCATTTTGTTTTGACCATCCTGTATATTGGGGTTAGTTTACCAGTTACCGCTTTACTGCACAAAAATCTCCGATTTCCAAACCAGCTCGTCGCAACAAATGCGAAAATTACGTTTTCTCTTCAATCTTATCGAAACTGATAAGTAGTTTATACAAGGCATACGGGAATTAAAAGTGGTCCGGAACAAAACAAAATAAAAGTTACATGTTGTAAAGCGATAAACGTCTAGACCGAAATAGACGCGAGCTTTGTTTCTGTTTAACTAAACAACTTGCTCTTACTGCTCGGATTAAAAAAAAAGTCTTTTTGATGTGTTAGAGCGACATCAACATAAACATGTACCTCAGCTTTGAAATTATAGTACTTTGGGTAAATGGCCGCAAAAGACAAGTGGACCTAAGAATATTCAGTTCGCACTTTTCTATCTAAAGACGTGATACTTGTGCCGGTAGTTTTTGTTACAATCAGCCCCGAAAGGCAGGGTAATATCCCGTCAAATCATTGCAAACTATGGTACGTAAAATTCGCGACACCTTCGACATGATTCGATTTTACTACGCGAGATTGCGAAAAATTTACCTCGACCCGGAAGTAATTTCACCCAAGTGTCATCGCGGAAACAATCCGACGATCCAACCCCAACCCAACCCCGGCACTTTAAGGGTTGGACCCGAGCAAATCCAAAAATCGACCGATATGGTCGTATCTGTACATATTGCACGTTACCGTTACCACAATTATCGCCACAAAAAAGCGGAGGATACGCGATTACTAATTCACAACCATTTTATCGCGACTGAACGACTTTTAATTCCCGATTAACAGCGTTCGTGTCCGACTGGTTTTGGAGTCGAACGAAGTCTTGAGTCGACTCGCGGGAAGCGATGTTGCCAGTCGGTAAAACTGGAACTCCGCCCGTTCTCACTTGCGCCATCTAAGAACGGTTGCTTTATTCTACGCTGCTCCATATTACAATTAAACGTTTTGGTTTGCTGCAAAATCTCGATATTGCCTTAAAACATTCACGCGGATTTACGTATAGTTCTTTTGACATTTCTGACTTTTACCGAAAAAATATATTTATCGGCAACACCGATTTAGGCTTACAAGAGAGCAACAACCCAGAGATGCAATATAATATTACCAAACGGGAACTGAAATATAAAAAACATTCATCAGAAACGGCGCCACCTATTGGGCATAAGGCATTCTATGCTAAGTTAAAGATGCCTCTTTTAGCTGCAAACGTTGGAAACAATTAATTTCCGCGTTGTTATATATACTTTCTGCCAAAAATATGTGGCAAATTCGGCGGGATGTTGGACGTTGAACGTTTTTCAATTATTTTGGTTTTAAATTTACCGCCGTTTACATATCGGTTGGCACCTGCGGCGATCGGCAGTGCTACCAACGGTTATTCCAATCCAAACTTGATGGTGTTTTTGTTTGGTTATTGGATTGGTTATCCATTTTATAACTTTTAAATCAAGTCCGGTTACGTGCAAAATTTCAGAAAATTACTTAAGCGCAATGAGCATTTAACGCCTATCGGCCAAATATTATTTATCGTTTCGTTTGGTATGATAATGGACTCGAAATTGTTAAACAAGAATGGTAGCTTGGACGCGGAAAATCTGAATTTAAGCCTTGATATGGGCGACGATATGAAATTGGACGAGGTGAATTACGAGAGCGACGTATCTTCTACTTCGTCCGAATCGTCATCCGTCCCTAGTATTAGTTCAGTGAGCACAAATTCTTCTGGCAAAGGCCGTCGTTCCAGGCACAAGAGAGGTCGCTCCAGAGACAAGAGTCCTTCGCCGGCTACGAAAAGGCCCCGATCTCGCGAAAAGGGAAAGAATTACGATTATCTAACAAAACTCAACTATTTGTTCCGCGACGCACGTTTTTTTGTCATTAAGTCAAACAATGCGGAAAATGTTACCCTCTCCAAAGCCAAAGGAGTGTGGTCTACCTTGCCTCAAAACGAAGCTAACTTGAACCAAGCATATAGAGAGTCAAGAAATGTTTTGTTAATATTCTCAGTAAAGGAAAGTGGAAAATTTGCTGGCTTTGCTAGACTGCACGGAGAATCCAGACACGATGTGCCTGCCATTTCTTGGGTTCTACCGCCGGGCCTTTCGGCCCGGGCCTTGGGCGGAGTGTTCAAAGTGGACTGGATTTGCCGCAAAGAGCTGCCATTTTCGAGTACAATGCACTTGTACAACCCATGGAATGACGGCAAACCGGTGAAAATAGGCCGAGACGGTCAAGAAATCGAACCGAGGGTGGCGGAGGAGCTGTGCCGTTTGTTTCCCGAAGACGACGGTATCGAAATAACTCCCATTTTAAGGCTAGCCAAAGAGGCCTCGAAGAAAGTTAGTCTGAGGGGCAGGGACGGAAACAGGCATCCGACAGCGAGGATGCCTTTGGCCGCCAGGTCAGCGTTCGGGTTTCGAGGACGCGGCTCCTCCTATTCGAGGAGAAAGTATTTTCTAACGACGAGGGGTCTCACTTCCTCCACTTATAGACGTTCGCCTTCGCCTAGGAATAGAGATAGGTGAGGGTTATTTAATTTCAGGATTGCGGACTCTACTGCTGAAGCTTGAACACTAACGGCCGCATCTTTTTAACTTGAATTATTTTCAGCTCGTTTTTCGTTAATAGCCAAAACTTTGTAGGTATCTACCATTTTTCGATCGGGAATCGCCCCGTCCGTACACGGCTGCCGCAGCCGAAGCTTACGTGGCGGATTACATGAGAACCATGCAGCACCAGTTACCCCCCTTGCCGTACGTGCCCCCTCCGCGCCTGTACACGGCCTCCGCCTATGAAAACTTACCGACGCCGAGATACTACGACGGTCTCCCCATGCCGGACTATCAGTCCCCTAGAGTAAGTTCTTATAATGACAAGAGGTCCTACGACAGATCCGTGGACGAATTTATCTGGAGGAATAGGGACAGATCTAGGGAACGGGACAGGGATAGGGAGAACCGACATCGTTACAGGGACAGGCGGTGAATCGAAAAAGACTTAAGTTAAATGTTCTTATTTTAAGCAAATCGAGTTGCGTATAAACGATCTCCATCAAGGAAACATTTGATTAATCTCATTTGGGGATTTCTTTATTTTTCTTATTTCCTAGTTGCGATTCGCAAGAAAAATACACTATCGGATCGCTGTGTCCCCACCATGTAAAGTAAAAAATAAAAATATTAGCCCCAAGTTGTTGTTGGAAACATCGCTTTTTTGTATTTTATTGTAAAAGTACTAGACCTCGGGGTAACTCTTTTTTGAAAGTTGTATATAAAAAGTTTGTATCGATTCCGCTGTACATAGGGCCGTTTTTGTACATAGAAAATTGGTGAGTAATAACAAAAACTTTCACGTTTCCAATTATCGAAAGCACGTATTGATCGGTGTATTAAATTTTCCCCCCCTTAAATGTGAATTTTTTGTATTTTTTAATTTGGTTTTTTTTTTAGCGAAGGGCTGGTTTCGCACTAGCTACAATCTAAATATACTTGCGAACTGTAAAATATATTTCTTATATTAAAGCTAGTGCCCTGGTTTTTATTAATTGTTTTCTCCTACCATCGGCAGGCGACAACCTTTTTTTTTTACTTTATTTCGCGGATTTTAATTAATTTTTAATTAAATTAATTAATTTTTATTATATACGGGGTGTCTGAAAATAACGTTAGTGTAATTTAAGAAATAAGATTTGTTTTTCAAACTCCTTTTTTTAATCTATTGGTTTATTTGGCCCTGGTAAATATAATTCAAAATTGCTTACCTTCATAAAGAAAGGGTCTGGACTATTCCATCATCCTCCATGTTTGTTAAGGTATACTAAATAATTAGTCATAAAATGACCACCGATTCATCTAACGGCTACGAATATCCGTTCCCCGGCCTGGATACCGGCGTGAATATAAGACATCCGGAAACCGAGCAATACACCATACAAATCCAGAGACATACACACAAAACAAGCACCAATGCACAAAATTATAGTCACTACGTCTAACAATTCAGTCAATAGGTGTACTGAACAAAATTTTTGCAAACAACATAATTTTCCAATCGATTTTCAAGTTTATTGCCTCTAACTTCATTTTCAAGAAAAAAAAATTAAACTCAATTATAAATACGTATATTGTTTCTCGGACAATCACCTACATCAGATTTCCTAATTGACACTGGGGGCCGCTTTGTTTGCAAAAAACGATTGCCTTTCGGTAAAGGGCAAATGTTTGCTTCTGATGATATTGTTTTCGTTTCCCGTAATGGTATACATCGATTCCCCTCGGGGTCCCAACAATTTACGCAGCGCCATGTTGCGTTTGAGAATTTTCTCCCAGAACTCCTTTCCTCCTTCTAAAAACACTGGGTCCTTCGCTATTAAGTAATCATCCGAGGTTTTTTCGTAATACAACTGAGACATGTCCTTACACATAATAAAGTTCATAAAACACAACGAGCTCACAAATGAATACACAATAAGTCTTATGACACGGGGTCTGCTGTAGAAATCAAATTTTCGATTAATAATACTACTTAGAATGTAGGTAGCGGCAGCACAGCTTGTAGCAATGAAAGTATCAATATATAATTTCGGTGATTGCCTAAACTGGATTTCTTTGGCAATGGCATACAATTGGGCCTTTTCTGAGAGCACCATGGAGTTCAGCAAGTCTTGTCCCTCTTTTGAATCCCAAGTAACTGACTTTCCCTCGGCTTGGTTTAACTAAAAAACAGAATCGAATGGCATGCTATTATCATTGATTTTGGTTACCACTATCTTGGATGTATCGAAGTTTTGAGGGCTGTTGTATTGAAAGTTCGAAGGAAGCCCGATATACACTCCAAACCGACTTGACGACAAACCTAATCCGATAATATCGAAGCCACAGGACATAAACGGTGAATACAGCTGTCGCTCAGCCTCTTCAATCTGCAAAAATCATAAAATATGCACTGGCTGTCTAATCTGATGTTCAGCAAGTGACCTCCAGTAACTGAAGCGTCTTTTCAAAACGCTCTTTTAGAATTCCCGGCACTGGTGCTGCAACTCCATTCCTAAAAACGGGTATTACAATTTTAAGACACTAATATTGGATATTACACTGTACTTGTATAGGCGGAAGAGATCTTTGTAGTTGTTTATGAATATAGTCTGTGATGTGTAACTTGCTACCATTATACCCGTAATAGCCGTTCCGGCGACGTAAAAGGAAAACTGCTTTCCCTTTTCCGTTAACAACCAGTTTAAAAAGTTTTTCGTTGCCATTTGCAAAAAACGTCTTAAGAATAATAAAAAGGACTATTAAATATTATATTTATAACATAACCAACAAAATAGAGATCTTCCTCTTCTTTTTTTAGGGTTGGCGATAGTACTAGTCAATTTGCAGGCAGATTGCCCCAGATAATCGAGACTGTTCTGATGGGGAAGTTTACTTTTCAGACTTCTGTTTCTATTTAAGAGGCTTAAAAAGCTGCTGAGGAGATTGCGTCCGTTAGTAAGCGGGCTCAGAGCACGCAAAAACTAAAGACAAACAGGCAAGATGGTCACATCTAAAAAACAAAAATAGGACAAACAATCTTAAGCACTATGGAAGTTTGGACGGGCGTTCCTGACCTAGGTTGGACCATGCGACCAGGCTCGTGAAATCTGAGAAAAAAAAAAAACAGATTCAAATACATATAATTTAAAATTCCCTAGTATTGTTACTAGGGGGAGGCTGTCCGACCTCGACTCCTAACTATTATAATCTAAAAAGCATATGACCATTTACATATTCTAAAGTTTACGTATAAATCCGCACCCGGGACTTTTTTTATAGGACATTCAAAAAATATATGATTAAGGTTCTCAACCCCGCCGCACTCGCAGAGAGTCCCTAACCCCTATCCGGGCCAGGTGTTCCCCCACCGCGCAATGTCCAGTTCTCATTCTAATTATAGTAGTTATATAGCGTCTGGATATGTAGGCAAGCTCAGAAAACCATCTTCTATTAGGAAAATTAGGTTGTATTATATGTATTATATATTAATAATATCTCTAAGAATTTTATTCTTTACTTGTATTGGCAGTTTAATATTCAAGGGGATGTTTAGGTATTTTCCTATTTTAGCCAGAGTATCTACTTTTTCATTACCTTCAATACCCGAGTGTCTCGGTATCCAGGTCATCGTTAAATCTACTCCCATACTTTTAGCCATTGTCATCATCTCTCGGACCCGTAGCGTTATGTAGTCCATTTTAGTGTCGGTATTTCCATTTAAAAATTTAGAAATCCCGCTTAAAGAGTCTGAAAAATAATAACTTTTGTGAAGGCTCTTTGTAGAGGAATTCTTAGTCCTTCTTTTATTGCTATCATCTCTGCTGTGGCAATACACATTTCTTTGTGAAGTTTTGCAGAAAATTTATAATTAATTTTTTTGGTATATAAACACCAAATCCAACCCTGTCACCCTGTTTAGAGGCTTCAGTAAAAACTAGACAATGTGATTGGATATATTTCTCTATTTTCTCTCTAAAATGGGCTTCCTCATTTTCTCTATTTATATTTAGTTTAAGTGATTCTATCAAGGCAATAAAGTTAAAAAAGTCTACATTAAAGCACGGGAATGTCGCACTCGATTAAAGGCTGTTACGGTGATGGTGGCTAGGATTCCAATGGAGACCGAGTTTTCCTTTATCTCAGAATCACCCTATTTTGGTTAGTTAAACTACTGTCCGCCGGTCAGCAGAGACCAATTTTTCACCAATTGCCAATTCGTCGTAGTCGTCCTGCTCGACAGAAGAAGAAGAACGTAGTATGTTGTCGACCTCCAAAATCCTCGACGGAAGTCGGCAATGGGCGAATGATCCTAGTAATTTAGCCCAACAGCTTTTTGTAAAACGCATCAATGAATTGAATGTTGTCGGCCTTGCCGCAAAAAAACCGTTGACTTCAAAAACAGAGACCAGTGTTTTTTGTTAAATATTACTTCATGAGAATATGTCGAACGGAATACCTCTATCGAAGATTCCTACGCGACCAAATGAAAAGAAAGAACCAAAAATATCCAAGACGGTTGCCGTTTTAAGAAGTTCAATTAAAGACTCCAACTCCGTATCGTCCCACAAACAGAAAGGCAAAGAGAATAAGGATCAGGCAGAAAATAAAAAATCGGAAAGGCAAGTCGCGTCGATTCAACATCAACCATCGACTAGCAGTGCTGTACCAGAAAAGCAAGAGGACGATAAAACGCGTAAATGGACGCTGACCGATTTCGATATAGGAAAACCATTGGGCAAGGGAAAATTCGGAAATGTTTATTTGGCCAGAGAGAAACGCAGTAAATGCGTAATCGCTATTAAAGTGCTGTTTAAGAGCAGCATTATGGAATCTAACATTGAACACCAGGTTAGGAGAGAAGTTGAAATCCAAACTCATCTCAGACATCCAAATATACTGAGGATGTATGGATACTTTCACGATGAATCTAGGCTGTATTTTATTTTGGAATATGCTCCAAATGGTGAGTTCTCAATTTAGAGAGGGGAGCGTGTTTTGATCCGCCTTGTAGCAAACAATATTTCTGAAGAGGTCATTGCATAGGGTACATGCAGCATTTTTTTAGGGACCGTGTTTGCGGCATTAAATAAAAGCCCCAACAAACGTTTCTCAGAGGAACTGTCCGCCCGATATATTGCTCAAGTTGCAGGGGCTCTTTTATACTGCCATGGTAAAAAAGTGATTCATAGGGACATTAAACCAGAAAATTTACTGCTTGGAGCAAAAGGAGAAATAAAAATTGCTGATTTTGGTTGGTCAGTTCACGCTCCTTCTTCGAGGAGAACCACCGTCTGCGGTACAATAGATTACTTGCCACCCGAAATGGTAAGTAGTTTTGCCTTTAGCTTCCCTACCCACAACTTCATGTTTTAATTTGGTACTGTTATTTGCTATGACAAAAGGTTCATTTGGTTTTTTTTTTAATTAAATAAAAATAAAAAATTTTGTCTTTTGAATTTTGATTTGTTTTCATGGAAAAAATTTTTCTTAAAAACTGCATTTGTGAACTCATTCATAGATTTTTGAAAACATTTCTAGATTCGTGGTCAGCCGCATGACGAAAAAGTCGACCTGTGGAGTTTGGGGGTTTTATGTTACGAATTTATCACAGGAAAGGCCCCGTTTGAAGCGAAGAATTACGACGAAACGTTTAGGAAAATTTGCAAACAGGTATTCATTTGTCCCCCATTTCTTTCATACGGAGCCAAAGACTTAATTAAAAGGCTGCTCATAGTAGATCCTAGCAAGCGATTAGAATTAACGGAAGTACTTAAACATCCTTGGATCGTCCAGCACGTTAAAATTAGTGAAAATTAGTGAAATTAAGTTAATGTTGATTATATTTGCTAAAAAATTAAATATTATACGTAAAACTTGTCTTTTTGTTGTACAAAGTGACTGTGTGTGGACCTTATTTACAAAAATTTCAAAATTTCCTTTGTTTTGGATTTATAGGTTAGAGACTATTTTCCGTCTCTGTTAGATCCCGCCTATGTCTTCTTTCACACGTCTCTGAATTTTTTCTAGCATTTCTATTTCTATTGTTTGGTCGTCACTAAAACACGCATGTTCTTTTTTGGTCGTCGCTAAAACAAGTAGGTTCTATTTAGTTTAGGGTTTATCTGTTGAAGCGATTACACTGGGTTTTAAAAACACAGCACAATGCGAATATCTTTACCAAAACATGGATCCTCAGTTCTGAAACGTTGGTCGTGGCTATTGCACCACAGACCAGATAACTAACTCCGTACGATGCAGTGACATCATACACATTTTGGTCGAATATAGCTTTGCTATCATTTCTATCAAATGGTCTTTAAAAGTACGTTGTATTATATAAATAATTAGCTTATTTAGCAGTTTTTGCGACGTTACTTCCCTATTTCAAGTCTAATGTGACGTTAATAACACGGTCACTTTGCTCTGACACTGTAGACAATATGGAGATGTTCAGTCCGTATATGTTCTGTATTGGGGTCGTTGGGTCGATTCTAAGTACTACACATTTAGATTCATTAAGTTTCACTCCTCATGTGTCCGACCAGCAACTTGGTTTAACTCTCCCTGGAGCTTTGCTGCATCAAAATAGAACATTTTGTCATCATTAAAGTGTTTAAATTTGTTTCGACAGTTGTGTTCCTAATACAAAATTCTGATCAGCGTCATTACTGGGCTCTAAAGTGTGCTCATTTTGTGAGCAACTAATTATATGGTATTTTGTCAAAAGTTTATTCATAATCATGATAAATTGTAGCTGTTACTCCAAGTCAGTTGCAGTGGGGCGCTTGGAAGTGAACTAAACTGTAATTGCGGTATAGTCATTTTCAAAGAAAAATGCAGTTAAATCTTTCACTATTAATTTTCGGGATATAAAACTTCTTGCGTTGTTGTATCTTTTAAGGTTTTTTTTTTACATTTTTATATGCAATTTACTACCGAGGACAGATTACTATACCAGAAGGGGATCTCAACTGCCTCCGTTTCATTTAGATATTTTACTTTTTTTTTAAATGATTTTGAGCATCGTTATCCTTCGTTTTCTTAAGATAGACTACTGAATCTTCAAACCCAACGGGACTCAACTTTTTGTTTTTCCAATTTTGGATTTATGGGTTTAGGACTCATTAAAACAGCGATCAATTTATTGTTAATTACATTTGCACATAAAATTAAATACTTTACTTACAACTTAAACTTGCCTTTTCGATCGATGAAAAAAATATATAAATTTCAAAACTATTGAAACTCCAAGCTTAGCGGGACGCAACTGACGTCGTGTCTCCCATTTTTATAGGTTAGGATTCATTAAAACAGTGATCAGCCCAATTTTAACTACATTTGCTAATGAAATTAAATATTCTACTCACAACTCAAAACTTGTCTTTTCAAATATGGCGTGGGATCGTGTTACCGCACTTTTTTGACTTTTCAATGAGCCCTACAAATTCTGCATACAATAGCACAAAAATATATACATGACGCAAAAAATTAACCCATTAACGTCCTGCCACTCACTTCAATTTATATAAACGTGTGACCCTAGTTCGGTTTGATGAATATGACACGAAATAAAGCCCAGAAGAAATGACGATGACGAATGAAAATTGATCATTTACTATTTTTGTTCTATCTAAACTTTAGGTAAGGTTGATTTCTGCAATAATTATTTTATTTACAGATATTTCGATTTTGTTCGAAATTATATGCAGAAAATCCTTCAAGACATTGGATCAGGCTGTTGCAGCATCGCCCCCCGAAGTTGATGACTACTGAAGATGATACCAATGACGATGATATAATGAAATATTTTTTACTGAAAGATAAACCATCATCGTCTAACGAAGAAAAGAATTTACCACTTTCAACATTTTTTAAGAGAAAAAAAAAGTGAATCTACTTGGTTGCTGCCAAACTGGAATAAATCGGAATCCGAAATATTTTTATTGACAAGAGATCAAAATTTTTATTGGGTTTTTGATTTTTACTGAACATCATTCGGTCCTGGAAGTTTTGTTAGTAAAAAGTGCACATGCGCAGAACTGAAATCCAAACGGATCACTCAACATCAGACCTTTGCCGAGAATGCTAAACGTCTCAGATAATGGTGTGTTTTCCATGAGATGATTAGATTCGGTTTTTAAATTCTATGTGTGCTATTAGTTTTCACTTTGTTGTGGCAAAGGACCTGACGAATCCCTTTAGGAACCAGACAATTCACCAATATGTCATAAGTAATTGGCGTGATTGGCTCCTAGGGAAACATCACACTTCTGTAAGAGGGAAGAAATGGTATTGGTCCTTTTCACCAAAGGGAAAAACGCAGAAGACGTCTAATGGAAAAAGTAACCCAGGTATATCATATTTTTTGAAAAACTCGATAACTCATTTCCAACATAATATTTTTCTACGTTCAGTGATCCGAAATACCGTTGGAACCTCTACAAAAAAATAGATGATTTTCGAGAAAAACATTTTCGAGCGTTAACGGGTCAAGGGCGGTCCAAACACCGAATCGAAGTCTACCGTCGTCTACTTCAAGTCTATATCTTCCGCCATTTTCCTCTTCCTCGGTTTGATCATGCGCAACGTGTCGAATGATTTGCCGAGCAGGGAACTGATAATGGCCGTCGACGTTGCCGGTTGCGTTTGCGGCGGGGTCTCTTCGTTGCGGAAATTCGCCAGGTCCGGGATTTTCAGTTCCAGATTCGCCGCGTCGGACACGATCGGGCTGCGACTCCTCTTCGTCGGGATATCCGACGGCACCTGGAGCGCCACCTTGCGTTTCCTTTCGACGACATCGACCGGTCTGACGGAGTGGTAACTTTTCGGTAAGATGTGCGTCGTCCTGGGCCTAATGTTCGATTTGAACTCGGGCATCGAAGTACTCTGCTGCGCAGACGACGCCCTCTTCAGTATCTCGTCTCGAGCTCTCATCAATTTGTTGATCAGATCTTTGTATTTTTGGTCCCATTCGTCGATGTGCCGTTTCATCTCCGTTATGGTAGCCTCTTGTTCCTGAATCTTGCTGTTTTGTTCGTGGATTTTCCGCTCCTGTTCGCGTATCTTTGCCGACTGCTGCTTAATCCGCGCCGCCTGTTTGCGCAGCTGTAGATAGATAGATAGTTTTATTCACAAAGCCCAGTGGATGTTTCGTCAGGAAACGAGTACATTATAGAGTAGTATAAAGATACATGGAATTATGTATATAAAAAATACGATAACACACATTTAACAGTACAGTATAGAAGAGTTACAAACGGATATACAAACAGTACAAACATATGGAGAGAAAATATCACTAAACTCATCAGGGCACTCCTGTAATATATGTTTCAAATTCTTTCAGGTCGTAGAAAGCATTGGTTGACAGAAGCTTTCTGATGCACTTTTTAAATTGTCTTGTAGATAATGCTTTTATGCTTGTAGGAAGCAAATTATAGTAATAAGGTCCTGCGTAATTTAGCGATTTTTTGAAGAACATGTGGTTCAGTCTTGGCTTTAGAAGGTGTTATAACCGTGGACATCCGTGTGTTTCTTGTGAGAGCCTTTATTTTTATGAACGATGATGAATAATTTAAATAAATATATGCAAGGCACTGTTAGTATTTTATACCTTATAAATATATCTTTGCAGGATAGCCTCGAGGGCAGTCTGAAAATTAACCTAAGTATTCTTTTTTGCTGAATGAACACCCTCTCCGCATCACTCGCTTGTCCCCAGTTTACGATATTATATGAAATAGACGAGTATGCTGAGGTGTAATAGAAAGTCAACAAGGATCTTTCAAAGAAATAATCTCTGATTGTGAACATTGCGAAAAACGTTTTGTTCAGTTTATTACAAACACTATCTATGTCGTAGTCCCACTTTAAAAAAAACAACCCGTCAATTTTCGCGACAATCCGGCAACGCCGCATTTTACGTTTGCCACCGAGTTTACTACTAATAGTAAGAGCTTTATTGCTCAACAGAAAACAATCCATTTACAGAGCAATGTATAGTAACAAAAAAAGAAACAGCATGTAATATAATGGAACCTAACCTATTCTAGTGAATAGTTCGAGCAGGATGACAAAGTGAGCTCCAAAAAAATTAGAATAACCATAAATCTTGATTCGAGCTAGCGACGACTAGACATCAAACATATATTTCTCAATTCCCTCAGTCCACAGTTAAATATGTCACAACGTCCGAAACACCATTACAATTGGAACATGCTATATTTATAGGCGAATTTTTTAATAGGTTTGTTCTTGCCGGAACACAGTCAAAGGTGTCTTTGGTGCGCGAATTGAGCCGTGGTACACGAATATCTAAATACTCTAGTAGATTCGGACTATCTATATTGTTGTGTAGCAATTTATAAACAAACTTCCACCTACATTCCAGGCTATTCATATTAAATTTTTCCAAGTAAAATTGGTAGTTTATGGCTCTCGGTGGATACGCGCCTTCTGTTTTGAACAAAATATACTTCGAAAACTTTTTCTGTACACCATCGACCCCCCAACTGTGACAAGAGTAAATCGGATTCCACACAATCGAGGCGTATTCAAGCTTAGATCGAACATAGCTAAAATACAGGGCCTTCAAAGCAGCAATGTCGGTAAAAGAATTACAGTTGCGTACTATAAAACCATAATTATGGTTAGCCTCAGATACAATGCTCGTTAGGTGGTTCACGAATGTAAGTCTGAGCCCAGATCTTTAGTATCTGCAACACGTCGGAGAACAATATTTGAGATTCTATATTGAAAATCGATAGTTTCTTCTTTCCGAGTGAAGCTTAGAACTTTACATTTATCTACGTTAAGACTCAGTTCATTTGAGATACACCAGTCAAAGAGTATATCTACCGATCTCTGCAAACGTAACACAATCGGCAATACTGGAAATGGAAGTATAAATTTTTAAATCATCCGCAAATAACAGGTTCTGCGTATCATTGAGATTTGAAACAACGTCATTAATAAAAATTAGAAATAGTAATGGTCCTAAGGTAGAACCCTGTGGCACCTCTGATGTGAAATATCTATTAGATGTAACCTTGCTGCATACTCCGTAAGCTGTACCAAATTAGTAACTGTAGAGCGGGAGTCATAAAATCCGCGCTGACTTGGAGAAATAATGTTTCTGAGAGAGTTAAAAATACGGTCATACAGAATGACCTCAAATATTTACGCTAGGTCTGTCTATAGTTGGTTACGTTGATTTCTTTCACCACTTTGTATGGGAAATACATGTTTTTGCCAAAATAAGTCATATGTTATAGGAAATTTAATGGGCTTTTGAATATTTTTTATTAACAATTATGATAAAGTACTATGATTAGTTTTTAAAGAATATGATAAATTTAAATATGAAATTGATTCTTTACAAAAACCATTAGAAGCGCAACGAAAAATGTAAGGATCGAGAGGAAAACAGTTCAGTATTGGTCAAAACGTCCTTGAACATTTCGAAATTGATTGCTGGACATGACAAACCATGATGGAAAAGCCTAAAAAATTTGAAGATATCAGTTTGTCTGCACGAACCAGGTGTACCAGGTATCTCAGGAACCTTTATTATAAAAAGAAAAAACGGGTTTTCTCAAAAAAAAAATCCAAGTTAACTTATATGAAAATTAGTTTTAACGTAATCTACTCCAGATAAGGAAACTTTTTGTTTGAACTCGTCAAATTAAGGGTGGGGTTTTGGTTTCGAAACAGTTGAATTGCCTTTTTCTTTAGTTAATTTCGACGAACTTAGTTTAGTTTTAAAGATTATTTATGGAAAAAACCCGTTTTTTCTTTTTACAACAGAGGTTACGTGCAAAGAATATGACGGTTCATAATACTGGTTTGGTAGGCTCGATTAATAAAAAAAATTGAAAGAATTAAATATTACACAACTTCTGGATTCCTCCTGCGTTAATTTATTAGTTTAGTGTATAGATTATTGATTGATTGATTACTTTAATAAATAAATAAATAAACGTTTTAACTCGCCTTCATGTAAAGCTTGTTCGTGTTCTGAGTCAAATACGTTATATGGTGCTTGTGGGTCTTGGTCGTTTTCTTCACTTTGCGCAGCTCGTCCGATAATGCGTGCTGCACCTGCGTCTGCAGCACCAACCTCGTCGACCTTGAAGTCGACGGCACGTTTCTACAGACCATCTCTAGAATGCAACATCATCGTCAAATCTACTGGAAGCTGGTTAGAAATCTTCTGGATTCCTCGAGCGTCAGTTGTTCGGTTAAGCTCGGAAGAAGCCAACGGGATGATTGGCGAAACGTTAGCAAGTTCGACGCAGGAGGAATCCAGAAGGTTTGTAAATAGTTTTGCCTGTGGAAATTTCTTTGAAAAATTGACAGGAAAGTTGTTTTATGTACCTTGAAACCGGGTGTAAGGCGATAATGAACCGGCAACTATTTCCAGTTCCTTTAGAATTTTCTCCGGGCAGCCTGCAAAGAAACCCAACGCATAATACAACACATCCGCTTATACTTGAATCAAACTTTCTTTATTTCAAAACAACTTTTTTTATAACATTGCATACAGCCCGGTACACACGAAGCAATTTCAACAAGATTGCTTTCGAAAAATCGTAAGTGGGCGGGGCAAATTTTGTAACATGTAACCCGGACCAGACTTTTTAAAATGAAGCCAATTCGGGGTTTTTGTCCTATAATTTTATTTCAAGCATATTTTCGATTTCGACTTTATTTACATTATTCTTATAAATTTTTTTGAAAATGAACGCTTGGCGTCGGTTTACACGCACAAATTGGGAAAAAAATACCTGCTAAAATATTTCAATAGAACAATACGTATTTAAATTGCATCGCGCCCGCGACTTTTAGTTGAAAAATTGTGCACTTGTAGGGAAATAGTATATTATGCAACAAGTGCGGTAAACTCGTGAGTTAAAAAGTTTACCGAACGTGTTGCATACTATACTTTTTCTACGACCGTTGCTTTTTGAGTATATTTTCGCAAAACACGAATACATTCACTGACATGATTGTCAGAATTGACAAATGTCAAACTTTAAAGCATGGGAAATATCTCCGAAAACATCGTATTGCTCGCAAACCCGTGCGGTAAAATCCCGGAAATGTCCGAAGTGGCTCGGATTCGTGGGAAACGAAACTGACGTGGTAAAGCGACGCTTCCCGTACGCTAGATCGGTGCGTAATTAGGTATTTTACAGACGGGAATAGAAAAAATTGTTTACGAGTGGTCTCCACTGCGTGCCTTATAACCTAAAAGATACTTGGACATCAGTCACGTGACCAACGTCGTGGCGGCAAATTCCCAAGACACTTTCGCCATTTTGTGTAAAGTTTAAATACATAAGAGCAACCGCCCACATCGCAGCTAATATTTTTTATATATTTTCTGCCTATAAAGCTAGAAGATTCCTAATTTTGGTTGCCAGTACTGTCGTAGAACTTTTAATATTTATTACATTCGCAACCACTGACAGCGCCGCCGTCAGCTGGAAGTCATGTGCCGTGGCCATCTTTGTTTTGGCTTCTGTGAGTTTGTTTACATAGCGATTTGCGAAAATATCCTCTTAATAATTCTATAATGGAAAAATATATGTAATTTCTAAACTAAATAAATAATGTATAATAATATCAAAAATTAATATCTAATTGCTGAAAACGCAACGATAGAACGCAGTACCTGTTCTCTGGTCGAATTGTTCTTTTACACGAGGCAAGATGTGCTCGTCGAAGTGTTCCATCGCCATGCTGCTCAAGTCTCGCAACTCTTGCAGAAGCACGTGAGTGCGCGGCGGACTTTGATTGGTTTCCACCAAATCTAGCACGCTTTTTAACTCGTCCAGAACCTAACATTTAATTTTTATAAAATCTTTGACTCGCCGGTGACGTATTCACCTTGCCGGGGATAAAACAAACGAGTTTGTTTTCGATGTACTTGGTGTACGTCATGTTCAGCATACTGATTCGCGTCTCCAGTCCCTGCAAGATGTCGATGTGCCTCGCCATTTTGTGCGACTTTCGTTCGGATTCACGTCGGGGCAGCGCAGACTTCACGCGCTTATAAATGTGCCCGTGGCGCCTCTCCAAGTGAAGGAATCCGCGCGACAGGAACTTGCTGCCGACTTCGTTGAATTTTTTGCATACCTAAAATTTTATGTCGAGAAAATATTGATAAAAAGAGAACGATAACATTTATTGCCAAAAATTCCTATTATATAAAAACATCTTTTTACAGTAAAGGACCTAACTATTGGTCGTTAATAGATTTTTAATAACTGTTTTCTTCTTAGTATTTCCTTGAGTCCATAAAAAATATTTACTAAATATTTTAGTTTTTTTACTGTGTTAGCCAAGTGCGTATCCTATTTTATATTATAGTCATGTGATTCCTAGTACTATTGATAACTCTTTTCAGACTCACATCATTAATCTTGTTTCCAAAACGGACATTTGGCCAACCTAATAGTTTTAATGTTGCTTTTGAGTACCGCAAAACATAACTTATAAAAACTAAGAACGCCTGCAAAGACACTCCAGGTTCTCTATTCTCTAAAGATTTAATACTTTTCAAAGAAAACATTGACATAAGTTGAAATTTTGCAAAAAAAAAATTCCCAGGATACGCTCTACTATCTGCATCCACAGGTGGTAAACAAGGTGAAAATGACGTATAATAAACGCAAGTACCATTAAACTTAAATAAAAATTCTTTATTTTAATTTAACAACCGTCATCGGGAACTAATAGATCTAAATTGGCGTCGCAAGCGACAGAATTGACGAATTTTTGTTCCCCGCCTCTGATCGACAAAGAATGTTGCGTAACCGCGAGCTTTTCTTTCATCATTCCCGTTTTCTGCCACTTCGAGGAACCACAGTTGGCGCACTGTTTGGTCGGGACGATGTCCAGGGTCACAGTCCGATTTTGACACTGACCACACATGTAGAAACGTTTCAAGGCGTCGAAAACCTAAAATAATAACTTGCACATTTACCGTCCCTGCAACATGATATTTTCACAAAGGATATCGCTTACTTTTAGTGGATGTTTTTCCGCTTTGCACAGATCAGACGCCGAAAAACTGGTGTATTTGCACTTGAGACACTTGACCGCTTTGCAAGCGATCTTTTGAGTGTTCACCATTTTCTCTTCCATTTTTTCCTTAATCTCCAACTTCCTAAAGTATTTCTCCCGCTCTTCGTTGTCGTGCTCCTCCACCAGATCCATATGTTTCGAGGTAGCGGCCATCATTTTCTTGAACCTATCGGAAATAAACTCGCTCTGTTCGAGTTTTGATTTTTTCGAAGGGCCTTCGTCGTCGATCGTGTCGACGGGACGCTTTTTCCCGGAACCCTTGGTGCCGTTCGGGTCGAGTTTTTTTATGGGGCCGTTTTTTTTAATATAGTCGAGGGCGTTCAATTTAGCTTTGTTCGCGCGTTTTGGTACCAACGGGATACTCAAATCGATACTACCACCAAAACCCGACAACCGTGGCACGCCCAACTTTGAATTGGAAAAAATGTCTCTACACGCTATTACAACGTCTCCTTTATGTACTGCTTGTTTGTCATTTCTTTCACCATTTGGGGGGTCCTTTTCTATTGAATTGCTTTCGCAACTTCCCGCTTGAACTTTCTTGGCTTTTAATCTACTTATAACATCTAATGCGGTTGCCTTGGAACTTTCCAGGCTCACGTCCGTGGAATGAGTTCCGGAAAAGTTAGTTTTCTCCTCCAACCCCACAGAACCTCCCAACTTCCTTAATAATTCAATGTCCTTCAGTCGCTGTGCCGGTGATACATCTAAACGCACCGCATGGCCCGTTTTCTTTGGTTTCACATTTTTCAATGGGCAGGCAACACCATTTCCGTTCAAATTTTTTAAAATGCCTTCGTCCCTTAGTTCCATTTTTCTACTTTTTCGGGCAGGAATTGCCGTGTATGACTTGCCGGCGTAAAACACTTCGTTCTTTCCCAAAACCTTATTCCTAAGGGCCAAAAGGCCTTTCCCGGAAAAATTTGCCTGCAACTCGGACCTTTTGCTACATTTCTGATATTCCTGTTTGATGTGGTAAATGCAAAACTCACACTGACTCAAATTTACTATGGCATTGCACCTATCTCCATTTTTCTTCATGCTTTTGCAAAGTCCAAAGTCTTTTGATTGACCAAAAACCATAACCTTGTGAGCATTATCGACGCTGAGCGTAGCCTCATCTTTTGAGTTCTCTCTTCTTTCCAATACATTAGGATTCAAAACACCAATCACAGTTCCCAGAGCACTTTTCCAAAGGGTCTTGTGAGCACTACTAAACATGAACAAAGCTACCGTCTTAATGTCATCCTTGAGATCACTCAAGGTCCAAATTGAATACTGACTTCCTTTTTGGGATGTTTTAACAGGACTTTTGCTCACAACCACCCCACAAATGACCCAATCTTTTTGTTTCGTTTCGCCCATAATGTACCTACTAATTGCCGAAAATTTCACTGCTTCTCTACCTTCCATTTTCTCTTGCAAAGTTGAGGACGATATTAGAGGATTTACAATTCGAATTCCAAAAAATGGATCTATTAAAACATCCTGGGGCTTGGATTCCAATTTTTCCAATTTTTTTCCCGCAAAACTTTGTGGCTTTGTCTTCCAAGTGGAAATTCTTTGTTTCGGCTGTCCATAATGCGACGAAGATATGGATGGATTTTCCTGAGTTAAAAGTTCTTTGATTTGTTTACCACAATCGGTATACTTCTGGTTTTCAAAATTTCGGTTTCCTTCATCGTCTGATGAATCGGTATCGCCTTGGTGTATAGAAGTACTATCGATTTTGTGTTCACAATTGTTGGTCTGCTGCACCTCACCAAAGAGGTTAATTTCTTGCAAAGCGCTTGCCGAATCAATTTTCTGAAATTCTTTTTCTGCTACTGCTAATAGTAACTCGAGCGGATCGTTTTCCGACATTTTTTATTTTTAATTGCACGTAAGTTGATGAAGAAACAGACGGAATAATTACAAGACACATTCAACTTCCCGCCTTTTTCGACACGGATCAAAGTCAAACCAATGCCAAAAGACACGTGCCAACGCAAAGAACAAAAACACCAATCTAGACTGTGTGATATAAGTAGTTTTTTAAAAAGAATCTTTAACGTAAATTGCAACAAAGAAAACTAAACATATAAGTTGTAAAAAAAACTCACTACTCTATTTCTGGCGATCTCGTCGTACGACAAAAAAGAAAAAATTTTGTCAATGGCAACTTCTGGAAGGAGTAGAATGCTCGAGAAGGACATCTTCGTTCCGTTCAAGTGCAATAAAAAAAAACTACGTTCGCGGGAGCACACATGCGATTTAAACACTGTCCCTAACTATCAATTACACTAATTAAACCAAAACACTATATGTTTACGTTTTTATCGATTATTAGTAAACATAAAACGATGTCCTTTCCTGGACGAAATGTCAACTGGACACAGACTAGGTGAAACATGGAATTGAAAGAATTCATCGGGCACGGACCATAAACTAAATCCATCTCGGCTGTTGAGGTGAGGCGAGGGTGCTGTTTTAGTGTTAATGAATGCTTTAATTATATTGTAAAACATTACAGAATCAGTAGAATCGAATCCTCCATTTGGAAATCGAACACAATTTCACTTGAATCAATTTTTGAGTTGAGAATCTTAGCTTAATTACTTCGTTATACGAGCATAAATTTGGCATCGCCGCACGGAATAAGAACAAAAGGATTATTTTTTTCTGTAGTTCTTTGATTTGTGGGGAAACGACGATACCGTGCTTTCGTGCCCAACTTATTTTGCGACATCCGATAAATTAAAGAATTAAAATTACTCAAATCGTTCCAGTGCCATTTTACCATTTTGATAGTTTTTGTGGGGGTAGACTAAGTCTATTTTAATGAGTTCATCAGCTTGTTACTGGAAAAGTATTTACCTTGGCAAGTAACAAAAAAAAAGACACTTTAAAAAATTACGTTTATTTCTTTATATTACAAATTACGATTTGACAAAACCCAAGGATATTGTTTATTATGCAAACTACTCGTCTGTAATACTTTCTATTATGGGTATACACTTTCGTATATACTCGAAATATGTACATACACTATACGTGACTTAAATAAAAATCTATAATTTGTTTACCCAATGAAGAGGTCACCAAATGCATATAAATTTTCAATATAATTAGCTGTTAGTTGCTAAACTATGTTTAAAAAAAAAATGAGACACTCGTACAAAAAAAAACATGTTTAGAATTACATACACACTGACTAAAATAATTCAGTATTTACAGATATCTACTGTCGCAAAGATTTATTTTGCGAGGTCAAATCTCAAAAAAACGATTAAATTAAACTAATTGCAAGAACCCGAAGCTTCGCAATCCAAAACTTACACTCAAATGTAAGTTTAAGTTTTTTAGATTTGCCCACAAAACCTCCATTTTTTCATACTATGCTACCCGGCTTATTAGCCAAGCGTAACAGCAGAATTACTACTGGGCTCCGCCACCGCCGCAAGTTGTTTCCGCAATTGTGAGAGAGCATGGCGACCCCTTTTAATACTGAAAAAAAATCAAATCGTTAGGAATTTTTGTGAAGACATATTTGTAGTAAAAGTGAGAACAAAATCATGGAAAATGATATTGACGGTGACTGGCCAGAACCAGAACCAACGTCGCTGGATAATTTTTTTTGACAATACTGATTATTTTGAAAAAAAAATCCAATGTCAATATGTCCTTTAAAATCTCGGTTTCCCGATTATCACTCGTAATTAATTGATAATAATAACCAGACGTTTTTGAAATGACATTAGGTTATAACACGTATACGAAAATTGTTTTATTTTGTCCATATTATCAAATAAAATCAAATTTCTTTTGTGGCTTGAGGATTACCGACATACGAAAAGTGTCATTTCTTCGATTTTCAAAGAAACTTGCTTTTATTTCAGACACCAAACGATTTAGGTAATAATTTGTTCTTAGAATATGTGATAATATACATTTAAAAAAAAAAAAACCTTTTTACCAATTTTGTACCTTTTAGGCAAATCATTATTAGTTTTGGCCAACCTAATATAATGCAAAACTAATTTAGCTATTAAATGACTGCAGTATCGTAGTAATAAAAATTTAATTTGCTCGAAGGACAAAGAAAATGATTAAGAAAATTACTGTAATACCATTTATAAAACTTCTGCATCCCGCCCGTGTCGGTTGTTGATGACTCGAACTTGCTGACGTTTCGAGTAGTTTTTATTTCAATCGTTACAGTTACTGTTGACGTTTTAATTTCCTAAACCTATAAATCTCTTAATCAAAAAAAAGAATGATATGCTTTTCTAATTTTTTTTTTAATAATTAGGGGTCAGTACTTCGAAAACCATTAGATGTAGGCATAGGACATATCAAATTATAGGTACTTTGACCCGCTTTGAGAAAAAAATATCAAAAACGTGAGCCTCTAATTAAAAAAAAAATACTGCAAGTTGAAATGTTGAAAAAAATTTGCTGTAATTTAAGACAGTCTGTATAATTTTAAAATATCTAGTCATGGCAGATCCTTAGAACAACATAATTTTGTATAAAAAAATTAGTAATCTTAATTTATGCCTAAACTACACAAAATTCGAATAAGTAGTTCCTATCAAAGTTACCTTTATTTTAGACAAGGATTCTAAAAATATCAAAATATATAGGGTGTTCCGTTTAAATTTTTAAAACAAATGTCGTTCCAGCACTTATCGGACACCCTGGATATATAAAAATAAATGATTTTGAAATTTAATTTAAACCATAAACTAAAATTTCAGATTTTCATGAAATTAGATATTTTCACTTGACAATTGTTTCGACAACTACCATCTAATGTAATATTTACAAACTACCTGCTACTATATATATACCGAAAAATGACAATAAAACCTTAACTAACGTTATTGTGAGAATTTAAGTTTAATAATGGGAGCGGTATTTAAATCTAATTGGTCGTTAAGCAATACATTTGAATGTCTCATTTTGTTAATCTCCATGGCTTCCAATAAATTTAATTTTCTATTTTTCGTGGCTGTATGTAAAATATCAAAATTGTCGTCAAAAATGTGTTTTTCTGTGTTTAAGTGTGTAGCATAATTGTTTTTAAACGCTCTTTTATGTTCGTTAATGCGTTTCTTGAAGGATCTACCTGTTTGTCCAATACAAATTTTAGGACAAGATCGGCGTTTCAACCTGTAGAGACCTGATTTTTTAGATTTTGGAGATTTTAAAAAATTTTCCTATTGTGTTGTTAATTCCGAAAGTTATCTTTAAACCACATTTTGACAACTGTTTTGGAAACTTTTTCACTGGGTTCTCCTTTGTATGTAATTGTTTTAAATTGTTCGTTTCGGGTATTAGGTTTGGGATAAATAGTTTATTGTTGTCTGGATTTCTTTTTTATTTATAATTTTATCGATAATGGACGGATTGTAGCAGACAAATTGCACTGAACAATTTGTTTAATGATGTTAAGTTTGTTGTAATTTTCTGTTGAGAGTGGCGTATTAAGAAGTCTGTGTATAAGAGTGAAATGCAGCCACTTTGTGTGTATAAAGGTGATTAGAGCTGTTATGTGTGACTGTGTCCGTGTGTGAAGGTTTATGGTAAATGAAAAAATCTAATTTGTTTTGCGTTTTCGTAATAGTTAGGTCTAAAAAATTAACAGAGTTATCCTGTTCAATCTCGATAGTGAATTTTATACGAATTTTTTTTATAGAATTCAGTTGTCTGTCCGTTCCAACAAAGCAAGCAAACACATCATCCACGTATCTATATCACCATAGAAAACTTTCACTCAAAGGATGTTCTAGTATAATATTTTCCAAATTATCCATAAAAATCTCGGCTAACAAAGGACTAAGTGGGTTTCCCATAATCAAACCTTCCCTAGAGATGTAAATCTGTCCATTAAATTCAAAATAATTTTGGTCTAAATATACTATTAAGCATTCTACATTCGCAGCCATTTATTGGAAGCCATGGAGATGAACAAAATGAGACATTCAACTGTATTGCTTAAGGATCAATTAGATTTAAATACCTCTCCATTAAAATTAAAACTTAAATTCGCACATTAATTAAGGTTTTATTGTCATGGACATATATAGCAGCAGATAGTTTGTAAATATTACATTTGATAAAGACACGGTGTTATCGAAAATATTGTCATGTGAATATATATAATTTCGTGAAAATCTGAACTTTTAGTTCCTATTTATTGCATCAAATTTTTGTAAAAACTTTTTTTTCCCTAAAAATCAGTAGTTTCTGAGAAAAGGTTCAAGCCCCTAACAAAGTGCCCACCCGCCACGTACGTCGGATGACGCGAGATAATGAAAGCTTCGTTCGCGTGTTAGGGAAACCGAATCGATTAGTTTCTCTTACTTGCTGGCCACCGCCCCAGCCCTGCTGCTGCCCGTACTGCCCGTAGTAGTTCCAATTCTGTCTGCCTTGGCCTTGACTGCCGTAGCCTCCGCTCTGACTCTGATTCCCGTACGACCAATCGCCGCTATCGTTCTGATGCCATTTCCCGTAGCCGCCGAACACCTGCTGGTTCCAGCCGCCTTGGCGACCGGATCCGTTTGCGCCGCCCCATCCGCCCGACTGCTGCCAGCCGCCGCCGCCGCTCCGGCCACCTCCGGAACCGCCCCCGCTTCGGTAATTCGGCTGGTTGCTACGGGCGTAGCTGCCGGGTCCGCCTTGACGACCGTAGTCGCGAGGCGGGACCCGGTCCGGCCTGTTGGGTCGCCAGCCGCCCCCCTGACGCGGAGGTGGCGGTGGCGGTCCCCGCCCGTCTCTACGCTCCCAACCGCCGCCTCCCTGCCTGCCCCAGCCGCCTCCCTGGGGATACCTGTTCCCGTAGGGCTGCTGCCTTTGATAGTTGCGGTCGTGGTAGTTGTTTTGGTTGTAGCCGCCTGATGGGGAGTGAATAAATCGATACACCCTCACAACGAAGACGATTAAATGATAAATACAAAAAAGTTACAGAGATTGTAAGGAAGTATAATACGACCAATTGGCGATTTAAGTATTTTACAGTACCTTAACCGCAGACCTTTGATTAAAAATGTTTTACTAATGAGTCTCATCAACAACTATAAGGCAGTTTCATAAAATATATCAGTTTCTAAAGCATATGTATGACCTTAGAGAGCTTAATTCGACTATTTGCTCTTAAAGGAAGTAACACTAAAGCAAATATATATATATATATATATATATATATATATATATATATATATATATATATATATATATATATATATATATATATATATATATATATATATATATATATATTCTCACGTATTGATTCACGGATGGAAAAATGTGATGACACTATATTCCGGGATATCATCCGTTCGCTCGTTGAACTCCGACTGGAATCCTGCATCCGACTGGAATCCTGCAAATCTTGCATCCGACTGGAATCCTGCAGACGTTTCGCCAAAATCTCACTTGGCATCTTCAATGCTCGCGCTCCGAAAACACTTCGAACACTGTTCGAAGTGTTTTCGGAGCGCGAGCATTGAAGATGCCAAGTGAGATTTTGGCGAAACGTCTGCAGGATTCCAGTCGGATGCAAGATTTGCAGGATTCCAGTCGGATGCAGGATTCCAGTCGGAGTTCAACGAGCGAACGGATGATATCCCGGAATATAGTGTCATCATATATATATATATATATATATATATATATATATATATATATATATATATATATATATATATATATATATATATATATATATAATACGACCAAACATATAGTGCATTTATTGCTTTGATGATTTAAGTGTTAAAACCCATACCAACAAATATTTTTTCTGCATTAAGTAGGTCTTGCCCGAGTGGGACCGTAACGAATATTTGTAGAAACTTGAAGGACCGTTTGAAATTAATGCTGGTGGGTATTTTCGAATAAGTAGAAGCGTTTATTTTAACATCAGATGATATGTACCGTTTTTAAGAGTTTACTCTAAATTGAATGTGGTCCTTCCAGTAAGTACGTATTTATGAACCTGATTCTCGAACTTTGACCTCGCGATGCGGTTTTCACTAGATAGTTCAAAAGGTAAGTACCTAGACTCTATTTACCTTACAGATAAATTTGAAAAGAAATAAATATTAATATATATAATATAAAAAAAAATAAATATTATTGTGTCGTCTACATAGTTCTTCGATTTGCAAATACCAGTTAGATTATATTCCCGGTGGATAAAGGTACGTCATAAGAATACAGATAAATATTTATTAGAATCTTACAATTAAATCTTTTTTGAAGGTTCCGGTTTTTTAAGAATTTAAAATGTGAAGACCGTGAATTGAGGCGGATGTTCCCCTGTTAGAAGAACATGTAAAACAACGCAGAATTTGAAGACCAGGTGGAGGTGGTAGTCGAACCTAATTTTTTTGTTTAGATTTTAGAAGACGAACTACCTCAACAAATAAAAGAACGGATCCATTTGTCTTCGGATGCTAAACAAACTGTTTTGAACGTTGAAATTCAGAAGCGGAAGTAGGAGCAGTAATAAAAACAAGTGACATGACCAATGTTCCAAAGTCAACTGTAAGAAAAATTGTTGCAAATGGCAAATGCTGGTAATTCGGGAGTTTTTAAAGAGCAACACGCAAATCTAATTAGGCGCATAAAGTGAATGGAGTTTTAACCCTAGAAGAACTTCATAAAAAAGTACTGTATATTGTATATGAATAATGATAATATGTAGAAATGTAATGAAATTGAACGCAATAAATTATTATTTTGTACTATTTTTTTTTATATACATGTGTCAAGAATTATATCCCGCTTGTTAGGGAGGTAGATAAATTCCTAGGGGTAAGGGGCTGCCGGTTTTGGACTGATAAACAGTAGGCAAAGTTAATCACGGGGTCGGTTGTAAAAGCACTATATTTCTGGTCGAAGTATACACGCACATTCCGTGTTGCTAATCTACACTGCTCTGGACGACAAACAAGCGGGGGGTAAGAAACTCAGATATTTTTACGGAACTCACGAAGTCTATATGTCTCAGACACAATGTTAAAGAACGAAACGGATGTATAGGGTGAAATAATGAAGAGTGTTTCGTCTTGGCTGCCACATGAGCGTCTAACCCCCGAAGTTGAATAGGGCAAGCCAGACAAGACTTCAGATACACAGATAGAATTTTAAACATCATAAAACGTGGCTAAAAAATCTACGCCAATGGTACCAGCAGAGCACGATGTCTTTGTCCTAGGAGGGCAGGTCACTTGAAGATACAACATATTTAATAAAAGTTGTACGTTTTTGTAAGAAAAAATAATAATATACATTCGTTTATTATATTAAGAAATACTAGCAAAATAGATATTATGCAAACTACCAATTTGAACAAAATTTGTTGATGGCACGTTCTGATATTTTTAAATATCGTAACCTTTAGTAAAACATCTTCCATGACCAAATTGTCTTTTCAGAAAACAAAAATCCTTGTGACATTATAAAGTGTAATCAAAATTTGTTTTCTGCCTGTTCTAGTTTTTTCGCAACGCGTTTTGTTTTCGAAAAAAAAAATTATATCTTTATTAAAATTTAATACAACCTCAGAATAAATAAAATGTTTGGTGTTCACGTTTTTAGCAATAATAATAATAAAGACTAAAAATATAAGAATCGTCAAGACTGAAAAAAACACGTCAATTTCGGCTTTGCTTACTATTTTCTTATCACAAGGTCGTACAGTAAATAAAGAGGACCTTAAATTATGCGCCCTTTGCAAGAAGCACTACGAAGAAAACGTTTGATATTGTGGGCAAACAAATCAAGTCACCATATTTAACGGATATGGACCCCTGTGATTTAGGTTTGCAACGATTGAGTAGGTCTATACCAAAAAGTGTCTACCAAAAGTTTTTCGAGTTTTGGAACAAACATTGGCACACGTGTATTACGTCTGCAGACGGGATCACTTTGAAGGGGACAATAAGTACTTTTTGATGAAACTTGAAAGTCACCTTACTTTTTGAACACACCAATTAACATAAAAAGATTATTAATTAATTGCCAGTGAGAACAAACAATACAAAACCACAAGAGAATCAATCACCCATTTAGAAACCTTAGGACGTCCTGCCTAAATATGGCGACACTTCTCACTCCACTCGCCAGAAGTGGAAGGAAACACTGAACGCGGCTGGTACCAAGACTAGAAAACTGGAACACGTATTTGAATGCCAATAGCGGAACCAAATGACAGGCAACAGGTGTGGCGTCTACTGGTAAAGACGAACCCAGCTCTACGGCTATAGAGGGAGCCACAAGGCCGTTTTTCACACACTTTTAAATGAAAAATAATTTGTTCTACTCCCTACAAGCGTCCGCGATGTATCTGGATAGAGTCGTGGGGTCTTTCTTAATTACTTAAGATTGGGAATTAGAAAGAAGTCAGAAGCAGTCGGTCGGTTTACTCACTGCGGTTGTCTCTACGGTAGAACCTTCTGCTGTAGCCCTTGGCGCGCGCTTCTTCCGTGTACTTCTTTACCATTTTCTTCGCCTCCTCCTCCGGCAGTTCCGGATACACGATCTCGTCCAGCCCGTCCTCCTTCTGGGGTATGCTCATAGTAGCTAAAAGGAAATGATAGTGGACCGTCCACTAGTGTCTCGCAGAGGTAAGTTTGGGCACGGGTTTCGTTTCGTTTGAATTTTAGATATTAGAAATGATGGCGAACCATAATTTGGGTACTTGGGTTCTGCTGCATTAATATCGACACAAAACGAAACTCGCAACAACTTTGAATATAAAACGAAAAAATAAAAAGACAGAAACAAGGACGTTACGGCATAGAAAAACAATTAAATTTTCGGTACAAGATAAAGTGGCTCCCCCGGAAACGACGGCGGTAAAAATAGAACGTGCCGCCAGTTTTGCAAAGTCCTCTAACGGCGAAAAAAACTAAATTTTTATTTATTATTTAAAAATGAGAGTCGCTGTTGGGTGGTAACTCTCATAACAAAATTAAGACCTACACAGTTTAATGATCCTAAGGAGACCCATTCACACGTTTTATTGCCAGACACCATAAATACTATTTGTAATTCATTACCCTAGAGAGTTTGCTCTTCGCTCATGCCGGTGTATTGGACAGTAGTTCGACGTGTTTACTGTGGACTACACAAAGAAGCGATGGAATCTTACTTACTTTTAAGTGGCCAATTTTTGTTGTCTCGTAATTTTAATAAAATCTGCAGGCCATCTGTATTTTCGGCGAAATTTCTGAGAATGATAAGACAATGTTTAAATTTATTTAAATGTTACAAATTTAGAGGTATTTTCCGACAGTAATCTTCGCTTTGAAGGTCATATGTGTTAAACATAGTGATTAAGTTAAAACTGATCGATCCTTTAAAAATGTCGAACATTTCGTATTGTAATTCAGTCCACTGGCGTGCCTTACCGCAAAGAGACAAAATCTGATCATATTTCTGCGAGCCTTGAGATAATATTGTGGAACTTCGGCAGAAGATCTAAGATGGAAACGTTACTAAATGCAACACATCTTGCAATTAGTGTGTATGAGAAATGTGTTCAAGAAAATGGTGGTCACATACAGCAGTATTTAGAATAGTTAAAGAATTTTTTACTTTAGTGTGTCTTGTCATTTTTAGTATATTTGTTCCACTTTAATTTGTAAATAATCGTTGTTGTAGCAGTCAGTCACGGCACTCTTTGAAATATAATAACTTCCTATTTTTGCCGATTTGTCAAAAACGAGTGGACTAATAAAAGCGTGTTACATCATTGTAATCGGAATAAGATATTCTATGAAACACATTAATAATATACAGGGTGTTCCATTTAAAAAAATATGAAGTAGGCTTATGTCAGAAAGTTGATGGTTTTTTTGTTTTATACGTCACCACTAACCCTACGTTTTGTTTACATTGATTCCATTAAAAACAAAAAAATTACAGCCAATTAAAATGTTACCAAGATAAATTGAACGCACGGTACAGACCTATACTCAGTCAGTCAGTGAATGACCTAATGAACTGAAAAATCTCAATGGTGACAAAAAAGTGCTTAAAAAAAGTGTTACAACGGAATAAATAAAATGGGAAAATAAAATTAAAAAAAATATTCGTAAAATTATTAAAAAAAAAAGATAAACAGGTATAATCGGTAACTTACAAAGAACAGGCATAACTTGTAAGTTTTACTAAGTAGTAGTATAGGTTCCTTATAGTAAAATGATTTTTTTATATAAAAGGAATTTTTGGCAATAAATATTGTATTGTATCTATTGTAAAAGTTGTTTATTGTTATTTGTTTAGCTTATTTTAAGGGCAATGCAAAACCTCGGTCTCCGGGAGGCGACCGGAAACGAAACGTTACCTTTCAACTCGTACAGAATGCTTTCCGGCACCTCTTTACCGTCCTGCGTTCCTTGCAACCGTTGCCTCTTCGCCTGTTCCTCGTCACCGACTATAATGACCACTGCGCGTCTCTTGAATCCCTCAAAGGACCGCATTTTGCGGCGTTGCGCAGCCGGGAACAAGTTGGTCTGCCACAACGCTCATAGCATTAAACAAGTTTCATCCACCGCCACAAACCGTCATTATACGTAAAAAACCAATTTGGCGGCTTCCCGCGTTGCAGTCTCCAATAAAACGACAGCTTTTAATTCGTAACGCACATATATAAATATAGCCCCCCTGTGTTCTGCGAAAATCGACAGGCATTCTACTTACTGCATCATTCCAGTGCTATTTTACATCGAAATGTCGTTTGCGACACTCGATATCCCATTACAGATTACCGGCTAAACCTGCAAGCTGAAATCAAACTCAAATACGCATAAAACAACATGTCGGGCTGCGTTCGATCATAACGTTCCGACATAAATGACGACCAAGAATTGACAGCGCAAAGAAGGGGACCACGCTCTGTCTCTCTCTCTCTCTCATATGCTACTCTTCTCGAGCACTGACAAAGTCATAAAACTCCTTGTTGTATTAAAATTGTCTCATTGCCTCATTAAAACTGTGTGACGCGTTATGACGCACATCAACAAAAAAGTTTCTATAGGGGCGCATTTCTATGTAACTTTTGAGAAACCTAATGGAAAGTTTCTCCCATTCGCGGGACACCCCGTATAATATCAATATATCTGCATTACACAAATCGAGAAAAATAAAATCATTTTCATCTTCGTCGCATGCATAAATCCAAATATTTTTTTTTACGATTAGGACAAATGTTATTTAAAACGTTCCAAACGATCCGAATTAACAAAAAAAAAAATAAAATTGCTAACAACTTCCCGTGGATCTGGCAACGCTGCATTTGCTCAAATATATCTAAAACATAAATTGGAAATTGAGTTTGAAAAAGTTCTCTCACTTAGCAAAATCAATGTAATTTTATTGTGCACGCACCCTGTATAAAGTAATTTTCAACTTTGGAAAATACAATTTTTTTTGCAAATAATTGCGATTTCCAATGACATCTATTCAAATATCCAGCCCACACTGCATGATAGAATGAATCTATCTCTCCACAACTTAAATTATCCTATGCTTTATAGTTTTTTTCATTTACGGCTATCAATTTACCCACAAAAGCGGCACACCCTGTACATAATCCAAAAAATGTCGAAAGTAAAAGTTATAGCCATGGATCTTCCATGTTTCACAACAATTTACTCTGGAAAAGAACAATTTTCTCTTTTCTCTATAATTGAAAAACCCTGTATATAATAGAAAAAACACTTGAAATAAAAGTTATAATCCCGGATCTCCCGCGCGTTTCCGAAAAAAATATCTTTTTCTAGAAGCAAAAATAACCCAATTTTTTCAAATATTTTTAAAAAAATACTTTGCGACTTTAGATTGCGGTCGACGTTAAAGTTTAAATATGGCTACGGACTTCCATATCCTTGCCAAATCTAAAGTCGATAGCTGCACATTTAAGGCACCTACAATCTTTTATATTACATTATGTGGAAACGTTAAATAAAAACATTTTAGATAATTATAATCACAGCCTTCTAGCTATAGCCAATTGTCTTTAAGAGAAGAGCCCATTTTGTAGTTTTTTGCAAATTACCGACGCACCCTTTACATTTTCAAAAAAATACTAGTCTTGTTGATTTTTTATCCGGATCTCACGAGTCTTTTCGCTCAATTTTTTTTTTCGATATTTTTTATAGTTTTCCACAATTGATTTTTATCAAGGACTCTTATCGTGCTTCATACCGACATATGAAAAACAGCGGAAAATGTAGAAAAAAGACAGAGGCCAAGGTCCGATCGCGACCTTTTCCCGTGGGATTATGTGTCCCATGAACTGTTTAAAAGGGGGTAAATTCTAGCACCCTCACTCAAACCATTCGGAAGTTATTATGGAGCGAAAGCAGAGAACACAGAACAGACAAAAAAAAAACGTTTCATTTTCGATGCTGATTCGAATCTATGAAAAATTTCAACAAACATCTACCCTAGCCAAAAAGAAAAGAACATTGGAAGAGATGAAGATAGTGATTGCCTTTACTAAAAGTTGAAGAAAATCCCAATATTTCCATAAGGAAAGTATCGGAAAGCCTGAAAGGAGAATTTATTGATAAAAAAAAACATTTTGCCATAAAATGTTGTAAAAAACTAACGGAAATGATGATTATTTGAATGGCAGTGGGCCACAGTGAATCAACATTGCTACAGGGAATTTCAATTCCAAGAACGTCAAACTGTAAATTGTCCTGATAGTCCTGACCTGACGCCGATGGATGAATTTTTATGGGGATTTTATTAAGCGCATAATATACAGAGTGTTCCATTAATAAATATATAATTTTTATCTGTATGTATCTAGAAAACTACATCTTGCGAATCGCTTACCATTTTTTTTTTGGTTAAAGTTGAAAAGGGGGTGAGACTGCTTCTGCTATTGCGAAAAAACAAAACAGAGGTACTCAGTACTCGTTTCCCCACTATATGATTTTTCGAAATATTTTGACATTTGACTTTCGGGTGACAGAAAACAGACGAATAACGAATACCCGTTCGAGTGCGTCAAACCATCGGTTCGTGGGCAGTTTTGACAGTTGACGACGCGTTTCGCCTTTATCTGTCGGATAATCCAGACTGTAGAAAACCGTCTCTGACCTATCGTATTTCTTTAGCAAACTTGAGGTCGTTGTTGATAATCTACGAATTGCAAACGTACATTTTGAGAAGTCACCCTAGTCACCCTCGAAAAATCAAGAGGTCGATGGTATTTTGACGTTATGTTCGTCCAAACTCTCTTTATGCAACTATTTTCGTATCCATTGAATACTTCCAGTCATAGAATGTTTGACAGTTAACTTTAGAACCGATAGCCACGCATTTCGTTTTGGAGCTCCATATTTAATTTCAGTTTTCATTTGTATCAATAATAAATAAAAGCGGGCCCAACACGCTTCCCTGCGGTACACCCCATCCGCTATCCCTATAACTAGAAACATTATTATTTGGCACATCATCAGAATAACTTTGACTTTTGTATAGGTTTGGCCTTGGCTTTTCCGTTAAGGTCCCTAACTAGAAATTAGATAATGCTTTAAGGTTCAAAGGTAAGTGCCACTTATATATCAGAATAACCTATCCCGATCAGGTGGCCATTCATTTGAAAACAAACGTACTTTTTCTTTGCGCCTACAACTCTTGATCGCCCAATGTATATATATATATATATATATATATATATATATATATATATATATATATATATATATATATATATATATATATATATATATATATATATATATATATATATATATATATATATATATATATATATGTATATACGGGACCCGCGTGACCCCTCGAATGACGTAGACTGCAACGCGGTCACCGGACCAACGGTTGATTTTAAAAAAACGGCAGTTTTGTTGTAACGCGGAACACGAGCTTTCCGCGTTAACTGCCGCCGCGAGTCAAACGAAAGGAAAACTATATACTAACCTGTCCACTTAAAGCCTAAATTTTCCTCAGCAAGTAGAAGTTATCGAGAGGAAAAAAAAAAATAGAAAAAATAATAAGACTGAACAATACCTAAAACGTCAATTTCTTTGGCCGATCCTGCTCGCTCGGTAGTCTGTGGCACAGTACAAACCAATCCGGGTCGTCCCTTAGCCGGATAAGGGGGTCCGTGGCTAAAAACCGTGGGCACTAGTCCGTTTTTTTTTTCATCACATAACCTTAGATCGGTTAAAAACCGCGGCGGGACCGCGAGTCGCATGGAATTCTACTGTGAGCACGAATTTAGTGGTCGTACTTCATTCTTTTCACCCATTTGATCCAGCTAGATAATCTCGATTCGGTCGCCATTTTGTTTAGTCAACCCTTAAATTAAATCCGAAAAAGCTATATAACATCTAAAAGAAAATGCAACGTGAAACTCTTGCTTTGTCAAAAGGCTGAAAACTTGTGCCTCAGATTGATCAGGAGAGGTCTTTCGTTGAAGTGGTCATTTAGTGGTCTATTCGACGAAGATTCCACAGAGTAGCTTCCGAGCTTTAATGGTCCAATTCCAATGGAGACACATGAAGGAACAATTGAAATAGAAAAAGGGTAGACTGTTGATACAACTCCAGACGGTGCAAGATGATTGCAAATATAATTTTTATATTCTGAATGAAAAAGTACGTATGATAGTCTGGGTTTATAATATAGTAACATTGGTTTTCTGCATATTAAGAACAAAAAAAAAAAAGCTCAAAAAAACTTCGCCTCTGAAGGATACCCCAGTAAATAATACAAAAGGCATAGTATTCAAAATTATCACATAAATTTACCAAACAGACACTTCCACAAGCCCCTATAATAACACGCCCACCAACCTGTTGGTTCCTTCAGAGCTAACTGAAGCGGGTTCGCATTTTACTCTGCATACACTTATGTATTGTTTGAGGGAGGCACATTGTCTCGGATGACTTATCACCATATTCATGAAAGGTAAAAACTAGAGTCGAGTTAAGACTGGATGCTTATAGATTTATATAGATTCTCGGATGTTTGGGGGCAATCCTTTAGATATTTTGAATTAGTTACAACAAATATCTACCAAAGTTCCAAAGCTATTGGAAAACCATAACACATCTTCAATAAATGCAACCAGTCCATGTTTTTAAGTCCAGTTTATCAAATAGAATTATTGTCAGATATAAAAAAAGCACAGTAGCGGTCTACATGAGATTCCAACTGGCATTGTTATAATTTTGATTCTCTGTTACCTAACAAACAATCCTTTTAAACAGGGCACATTTTCAGACCAATTTAAAATAAGTCGTATAAAACTACAGACCTATAAGTTTGCTACCATCCTTTTCAAAGAAAATTTGAATCAGCGTCTGGTAAATTTTATGACAAAACGTAAGCTTTTAAAAACTAATCGACATGGATACATACCCATAGATCTTCCTAGACGGCAATCTTTTAATTCACTAAACGAATTTTGAAAGTCATTGAGCCATTAGACTTATCAAAAGGGTATGACTATGTTGATATTAATAATATCAAACTTTTAATTAATAAGCTGGAGCTGTATGGCATTAACATTATTTAGATGTTATTCCTTCCAGATATATCTGATGCCAAGATAAAAGATGATATTTTTGTTGTTCCGCAGATAAGAACATCATGCAAAGACAAGGATTTTCTAAACACAATGACCAATATCATTTATAGAAACCCCTCCAAGGACGAAAACACTTTCATCGTGTAGGTTGTAATATGAGTTTGAAAGCGTATTTCCTGTTTTCACACTTGAACTATTTTTCCGAAAATCTTATAACCAGGACATTAAGGAAATGGAACGGCGGTACCAAGGCAAATGGGGCATAACAATGATGGTGGATCACTGCTGGATGTTAAAACGGGACATGCGCTTAAAAACACCCAGCTGAATGTTGGACAACATAGCTTTCTGGCAAAAGACGAAGATTTCACTGAAAAAAGCCTGAGTAAAGTTTTTTTCCCCACTTTTTTAGCGAATAAAAAAGTAAATTATTTTAAAGATATCGGGTTTTTCTTTTCATATTTGTAGAAAACCCTTACCTGATACCAATAAATGCATAGAATTTTTGAAATCAGTATACCAAAACTGTATAAAGTTTTCAAATAAAAAAGATCTGTCAAGAAGTGCTATTATTGTTATTATTATTATTAACCCTAACAAATAACCCATCTTTCTTATTTTATTTTATAATTTTACTTTTAGCACGACCACCGATACATTTATTTCACACATCTTTCATCTTTTTTTTTGGGGGGATTTTGAGAGAACAGAGTCCCATATGCCACGCGGCCCCGCCCCCTCGCGTTCCCACCTCCCCAAAGTGCGTTCCAAAATGATCGCTTACCGGTCCGTCAATCGTCGCGGAGTGTCTTCGTCAGTGGAAGACCTCGCTCGCAATAAAATACGAACAGTTATTAAAGGCCTTCCGGTGCTAGCTGTAAGTATCGTGAAACGAAAGGAAACCATGTACGATTCGAGTACTTGCTGAGGAAAAATTCCAAACTTCCGACCGAATGATTAAATGATTATTGGTTATTTACCTTCGGACGGACGATGGTCAGCGACGTCGCCCCACTCTCGCGGCTGAGCCAACTTACCTGCCGTTTTTTTTTTTTTCACTCAAGCCCCGATTTCGCTCTAAACGTCCTAGGAAAAAGAAACACCGGGCTTACCTGATCGATGACGAAGTTTTTGCGGCGCTGCGACGCGATGTCGGTGATCTTGTTCAGGCACTTGTGGAGCTTGTCGATCAGGGTTTTCCACGAGCCCTTGAATCGCGTCTTGAGCGGTTCCGCGCACACCTGCGGAACGTGAAACGCCATTAGCGAACACCAATCAGGTGGAACATGCTGCTACAGCAAGTCCCGTCTGGGTTAACTCTTTTTTTTTCCCATTTTTTTCCTAGATTACAAACGTATGAACGGACGTACTACTTTGCAACGCGTTGCACGGAGGACTGCAAATATATTTAAATTTCAACCTTTTCAATGTGATTTTAATAATAATAATAATAATACTTAATAATGCAAGGCTGGTGACAAGAAAGCTTTTACGCTTTTAGAAGTTTTAAAAGCATAAAGTTTTTTTTTTTTTTTTGAAGAATCTTCTACTATTTACAAATCTTTTTAGATTCCACCTGCGTCCGTCGCCAATCATCCTGTTGGCTTCTTCAGAGCTTAACTGACCTTGGTTTGATGGGGGCGGAGCTAAATGAAATTGTTTCATTTTCCATTGTTTCTTTTTTTTTACTTTGTAATTTATGGCAAATAGAAACGTTAATAATAATAATAATAAATTAGTTACCTTTCAGCAATATGGGGAGCCTGTCATACGAGACAACAATCACGCGCCTCCTTTAGCTCCGCCCCCTTCAAACCTCAACAAGTTTGACTTATAGACGACCGACGCAGGAGGGATCCAGAAGTTTCGTAAATAGTGTAATGCTTTGAAATTTAAATCAGCCGCAATTTAGGAAAAAATGAAAAAAATGGACACAGCTCTGCGTTCTATCTCGATTATTAAATGGAGTAATGATTTCATGGTAGTCTCTCTGTGGTAATTCTATTAACTTACACTATACGCATGATATGAATGTAGTAACGGTATTTAATTATAATTTTAAAGGGAACGAAGGCAAAAATTACCGTCATCCTGTCGAGGAGGGCGCTGTTGCCGATAACGGTAAAATCCTTTTCGGGATTCGCCTTGAGGTGTTCGCGAACCCAGTGCGTTTTGCCGGACGCCGGCAGACCTACCATCAATATAACCTGCAAAAACCAACACCCTCATTATACACTCTGACGCAACGGCTACTTGAGGTGACGTACTTCGCAGTCTTGACGCGTATCGGGCCGACGTGGACCGGCCACTTTGTGTTCTGTGGCGTTCAGAAACCGATAGTCGCCCAGTTCCGCTGGACTAGGGAACCACGTCTCCTCCCGGTCGCCGAAGTTCACTTCGAACGCGTAATTTCTGGTGAGAAGGTGGGGGAACAAGGAAAAGTTCTGCGGTAAATCGGCGAGCGGTAACGTCACGGCGACCGCTTGCAAAACGCCGTTTACCGTGTAGGTGATCGTCAATTGGTCACTATCGATATTCTAAAAAAAAAAAAAAAACGCCAGGATCAGGAGGAGTAATAAAAGAAAATGACCAAGTCTGTATTAAACAGAGAAGTGAAAAATAACGTGGGTTATTTAAATTTTTAAGCTTATTACTTTAGATAAGCATTTCATTTAATAGTAAATGTAACAGCAGAAACGCAAAACTGAGCTCTATAACTGTCTATGGGCTGCGCTTCAGGAGGACCACCTCAAAAATTAAACAAGAGCTTTTGAAAATCTTACAAATACCAATAACAAATTTTTAAATCGATAGAAAAATAGTTACTAATCAGTAACGTTTTTTTTTAATTAAATGCTTTTTAAAAAATAATTATACATAACATTATAAATACGGGGAGTAGGGCACAACCAGAAGCTTCGCCAAAATTTGGGTTTAGTTAAAGTTAGTCAAAAATAAATCGAATTGATGGTTAAAAGCCACAAAAAATAATAAAAGGCACTTTGGGGCCCCCTTGCCCCACTTGTTTTATTTGGGTTAAAACTTAGCTAAGATCTATCTGGGTGCAATAATATTAGTAGCACAAATTTGTGTAGATTTGATTTCTGTATAAATAAAAAAAATTACAAATCACTAATTATTAGCACTGTTCATGTTTTGGGTAATGGTTTCATACTGAATCTTTATCTTAATCTTCAATACTTTAATTTTTTGGTGCTAGTGAACTATTTCTACCATATATAATTTTTTACAGTCGTCATAGGGTATAACTTCGTTTTTTACAACAGAGTACTAAATGGGATAAAGATACTAGGTCTTATCACCCCGGGCACTCTAGTTGTGTTAAAAAAGGTTAATTTACCGCCTCTTCAATGGAGGCTAGAACGGATTGATTCTGTTCACTCTGGTGCTGATGTGGTTACATATGCAGTAACAGTCAGAACCAAAAATGGTTTAATTAAACAATAATTGACGAAAGATTAGTTAATTAGTAATGTTTCTATTAATTTGCAAATCTTCAATTCTATTTTCTAGTATTATTTGGTAGCTTACTGAAGAATTTGGAAGCAAAATAATTTGTGCTACATCTAGATTTCTCCAACCTCAGACCTTCAGGGTTTATATCACCATTAATAAGTTTTATAATGGTGAAAGACATCATGTTCTCCATTACTACCTAAATGTTCGTTAAATATATCTACTAGACACTTCACCATCTTCATTACTTTATACACATCATTTTTTAGGATTAGGAAACACCAGCCAAATTTCATTTTGAAAATAAGAGTAAAAATGAAAAGATTGTTCAACCTTAAGTTATTAAATCTCAGTTTCACCAGTCATACGTTGAAGGGATAACATTTATGGGTTTTTCCGGTGATGTACCAGCACATGAATCTATAGGTAATGATTATGAGAGAAGTTCAAACATTTTAGGGGGGAAAAAAAATCTAAGCACCTTGAAAAAAGAGCAGATTCGTTTCTTTTGTTCCATGTTTAATTGAATTCAAATAACTAAGGTGGCATTGTTGCCTATTTAATACTATAGTTAATACAATCATATCATATACTACATTGTACCTTATACAACAAAACAAAAATAATATGTACACAAAAAAAAGTCGCTGAAACCCCCCATTTATAGATAAAAAACAAAGATGGAAGTTATTACGTATATTTTAACATTTAATTCTGGGGATGCCCCAGCTCAAGCTCCTTTTAAATATCTTGCCTATGGTTCGTGCCACCTTAATATAAGGTAAGGAAAAACAAAATACATAATTTATTAATTACTATGAACTCAGTCTTAATATTAAAAGACTTGTAAAACCATACTTACCGCATATGTACCAATAACGTCGCCCACTCCAAACTTAACCCCGTAGTCCCGGAATTGCTTGTCAGAGACAAATTTTCCGGACGACTCGTAGCCGTACGAATGACCGCACTCCCCCAGCTGCAAGCTAGTTCCCTGAAGGGAATAACCCACCCTGAATAAGTGAGTAGGCAAAGGCTCGGGCTCGGACTCTGGGTCTTTCTTCGACTGGTCCGTTTCTCCGCCCCCTTCTTTGTTCTCCGCCGCATTTTCTTCCTGGCTCGCTTCAGGCGCAGAAATGGACGTTTCGACTTCGGATTTTTCTTCATCTTCAGGTTTCGACTCGGCTGTCTCAGCTTCCGTCTCTTGTACCGTCTCGTTCTCCTTCTTTTCGTCGGGTACCTCGTCGGTTTCCATTTTTTCAGCCGGCTCGGATGGTTGTTGCCCTTCTGGAGGCGTTTCGCTTGGTTTTTCGACCGGTTTTTTCGCTTTTTCTGGTTTCTTATCGTTCCGATGATCGGTCCGGTATCTGCTCTTCTTCAATCTGTCCACGTATTCAGACCGTTTGATGTTGTCCTCCCATTTCAATTCTTCAGTTATCTTCACTTCATAGTAGACCTGATAGACAAACAGACACACTAACTAAACAAAACCAGCAAAAAATCTACTTTTCATTCAAAAAACTTAAGAGAATACAGCTAAAAAAAAAAAAAAGGAAGCGTTCATTTAAAATAAAACACTTTAATAGGAAAGAACTAATAGATGAAAACATTGCTTGTTACTTGGGCACTATGCCCTCGGATCTATTTACTTTTACTTTCATTTGATTCATTAATTAAATTTAATATTAATATAATTTAAATGCTGGTTCATTCATTCAAAAGACATTGCAAACATATTTTAATAATTGTTGACATATATATTACTTTAAATCGTTTTTATATTTAATATTAAAGATGTTGAATATGGGAATAACAAATCAAATTTTGAAAGACTTCTAGTAAAATACAACCAATTCCCTGGATATTTCTAAATGAACCACAAGGTTAGAAATAAAAGGTTAGAAATTCTTTTTCCATTTGATTGGGTCAGCTATTGAAAATCAGTATAAAATTTGTATGTGCAAAAGATTGATTGTAAAAATATCCTACCTTTCCAGAAGTTATGCCATACGTGGCTCGGGCACCGGCCCAAATATAACCAAATGCTCCATCGTTGAGCGGTTTTCCTGATAAAAAAGTTTGTTTGTCAATTTGAAGGTGCAGATCAGAGTCATCTAAAAAAAAAGCCATAGGTAAATTAAAAACGATCTACTCGAACTTCCCGGATCTACGTACACCAACTCAACTGGCACTTTTCATAGTCAATTTCTGGCTCATCTTCTTTAATTGGTGATCTGCTCCTTGCCTTTTTTTCCGGCACGTCTTCTTCATCTCTTTTCCGTTTTTCCCCTTTGGTTTCAGTGTTTTCATCTGCTTTCACGTCTTTCTTATCATTACCACTCACTTGGTCCTCTTCAACTGTGCTTTCTTTCTTTGTTGAAATTGTTACTTGAACACTATCATCTTCATCCTCCTTGGTTTCCTCCGTATCGTGTTCTGTCTTATGAATATTTTCTCCGTTTGCCTCAGCTTCCTTTTGTTCTGTATTAAGATCCAGTTTCATGTCCACATCTTCCTGGTTTTCCTTCTCAACAATGTGCGACTCCTAATTAAATGCAATCAATAAAAATAGAAACCAAGACGGTCAAATGTCCGTTACATTACCGATACTTCTGGAGATGTTTCAGTTCTACCTACTGACTTTTGCTCGTCCTCGTCTTTATCGGCTTCTTCAATGTGAGAAGTATCAATATCTTCAGTGGAAGTGTCAGCAATGGAGGTGTCCGGCAGACCTAAATAAAACGATCCAAACTCAATATAATATCTGGTAATAGAAATACCACAGTTTATGGAAGTAAAGACCCAATACCCACCATGATCCAACTCTTTCTCCAAAGCATCTTTTAAGCGCTTTACTAACACAGCTTTGTTTCCCTTTGTATCCAAACCCCTTGAGGCGAGTTCATTTCGCAAATCGACCACTTTCATTTTCGCCGGATCCATCCTGAAGACGATTTTTATGTAAAATTCACTTTTTCACGCCAAAATCGTATCACATAGAACTGTATATACACACAACAACCACGCGCAAAACTGCAAATGGCGGCTCCGGCTTGCTTCGCGTTAGGGTTTTTTCTGTGATGCGGTAAGCGTCAGGAATTATGATCGAAACTTCAACACCATGGCGCCACTTTTTATTAGTGGTCTGTGATAGATTTCTCCTTTATATTTGTAGTGGGCAAATTTATTAAGGACACTCGCCCCTACATCGATCACTAATAGGAATGCAAAAACTAACCTATAAAGGCAGAATTGTGTGTCTCTACACGTTATTTGTTTTTCTTCAATCAACTTTTGAACATTCGATATTTCCGAAAATGTCAGATGAAGAAATGGACGTTTCTAGCGATAGAGATAATGAACAAACAGGCGAAACCTCGGAAGAAGTTTCAGAAAAAGAAAGAGAGGTATATTTACCTACGCGAAGTTTACAAGAGGGTGAAGAGCTAGTATGTGATCAAAGCGCCTACGTAATGTACCACCAAGCTCGGACGAGCTCTCCGTGTTTGAGTTTTGATATCGTAAGAGACAGTCTAGGTAACAAGGTTACTCATTAATGGTCCCTCGAGTGGTCAGGTGTAGGCAGCAATTTTTTTATTTCAGGCGAAAATCGGGAAACGTTTCCTCTGTCAGCATACATTGTTGCCGGAACTCAGGCTCGACAAACTCACCTAAATAACATAATTGTTATGAAGCTTTCAAATCTTCACAAGACAAGTGGAAACGAGGATGAAGACAACTCGGACGATGACAAGTCTGATGACGACGAAGATGAAGAAAATAATCCTAAAATGTCCGGGGCTCTTGTAAAACACCACGGGTGTGTTAACAGGATTAGGGTATGGGGTTTTAAGACTTTAAATTGTGACAATGCATTCTATATTTCCAGAGCAATATTGTTAACAATGTGGTCTTGGCAGCTTCGTGGAGTGAACTGGGGAAAGTGAATATATGGAGCTTGATGCCCCAATTGCAAGCGGTTGATTCTGATCAATTGCTGCATCAATATAACAAAGAAAGTAAAGCTCAATCAACAGTACCCATTTTTACATTCACCGGCCACCAGAAGGAGGGTTTTGCCCTGGATTGGTGCCAAACCGTGCCCGGTGTATGTCTCTCGAGTTCTTTCTTTCTCCGATTGCACTTTTTCCTTTCAAGGTTCTGGCAACTGGCGACTGCAAGAAGGATATCCATATATGGCACCCTTCAGAAGCTTCGAAATGGAAAGTCGATCAGAGGCCCTTAATAGGTCACACTGACTCTGTGGAAGACTTGCAGTGGTCACCGAATGAGAGAAATGTGTTGGCCAGCTGCTCCGTAGATAAAAGTATACGAATTTGGGACACGAGAGCGAACCCAGCCAAAGCTTGCATGATCACTTGCGACAACGCACACAAGAACGATGTAAATGTGATCAGTTGGAATAAAAATGAACCCTTTATTGTGAGCGGTTAGTTTGTTTCTAGGTAAATATTTTGTATTTCTAACTTCAAACTGTAGGCGGTGATGACGGGTTCCTTCACATATGGGATTTGAGGAAAATCAAGGAAAAGGTCGCCCTGGCCACGTTTAAACACCACACCGAGGCTGTAACCTCCGTGGAATGGCATCCCACAGATTCGGCTGTGTTTGCTTCTGGAGGCGAGGATAACCAAATCGCTTTGTGGGACCTGTCTGTGGAGAAGGACTCCGAAGTGAACGCCGAAGAAATAGAGGTAGGCATCTTTGAAATTCGGTATAACGGCAGCGCTACATAATATCGTTTAGGGCATTCCGCCGCAACTTTTGTTCATCCATCAAGGGCAGAACAACATCAAAGAGCTTCACTGGCACCCCCAACTACCAGGAGTGATAATTAGCACGGCGGAGAGTGGGTTTAATATATTCCGAACCATTAGTGTTTAATTTTTTACAATTTTTAATTCATTTATATAAAAGGTCCTGTATAAAAATTATTGACGAAATAAAAAGTGACATACCAAATTTGTTTCTCTTACAACAACAGTTTCAAGTTGACCAGGTGTCTCATCGTGGGCCTACCGTGCGGGCAATTCTAGAAAAATAACATTATCCAACCAAGTTAGACCCAAGGAGACCTAACACTCTGATGTCAACACCGCATCACATTCTAAACCAATGAAATGTGAGGTCTCCTGAAAATCTGTTGACCATACCCATGGTTGATTTATTTCACCCATGTGATCGACCAGCTTGCGCATGTCCGACTTGGATAGTATCTGACCGATCATCACCGACTTCCTGCACGCCTTTGAAGCAAATAAGGCCCTTACTCTCATTGGTCGGTACATCGAACGACTAGAATCTTCCTGAAAATAAAAAGGCTGAACACGGCACACCGGGCGCAACTGAACTACCTGCATCATGAAAATCATTTCGTCGATGTCGCTCTTGCCAAAAACAAACTTGTCGCTTATCGGCACGGAAGTCAAGTAAACGTTCTTCTCTGTAAGACTAAAATAAATGTCGGAAAGGGTATACGTCGCGACAAATTAAATAACCTTCGCTGTCGGTTTCGATGCTAAACGTGAATCCGTTCTTCTTGAACACATCTTCGCGTTCAATTAAAGTGGTCTTGCTGGCCGCCGTCAGTTCCAACAACTTGGGCCTGAAAGTTTAAATGGAATCCCGCGAAAAAATCATGAACTAACCAAACTCTTTGCTATGCGCGCTCAGGCTTCTCTTGTATTATAAGTCAACTGCCAAATTTAATAATAGTTTTTGATTGTTTTATTTTCGAAAGAACGTCCAATATAGGATAATGGCGAAATATCAACTCCATATTCCATATTTGTATTCGCAAAGATATTGGAAATAAAAACAAAGTTAATTCTTCTGAGACGATCACGTTGAAACGAACTAACCAAAATAAATGCTAACTAAACTAATTTGACTTTTGATTGATGAAGTACCGACAAATTTCTAATATTAAAATTTAATAAACCGGAAGGTGCCGTAAAAGTAAATAACGTCGCCTTTTTTATCCGATAGAAAAGCGGGAAAACGTCGCCAGATAAACTTTTTACTCGTCTAGCAGAAAATAAAAGCCGTCGTTTTTAGTTAACATTATGTTAACATTTTTAATTCTTGGAACTTACACCCAACCTGTTGCAGTCTCCGTACAATTTTTAAATGCTTATATATGTTACACCGAAACTACGAAATTATTTTTTTTTTGTAAACTGTGTTTTTTTTTAATGGTATAAACTTTAAACTTAAGCAATATTTTTCAAATTAAAATTTGTCCAAGTTCCCTAACTCAATTCAATAATGCGTTTTACTAACACAGTTGGGCGTCTAAGTTCCCTTTTGGCCATTCACGCTAAGCATTTTTTTCTAACAGAGGCCAATGACCCAATTTAAAAATTTAATTATAATTTTCGATTGCTTTGTTTATTTTCAAAAGAACGTCCGATATGGCGTAATACGAACTTTGAAAACATTATAAATAAAAACGATGTTAATCCTTCTTGGAAAATCACGTAGAAACGAAGTAACGAAAACTAACGCAAGGCTTACTTGACCATAATTTGACTTTTCATTGTTTTGTTCGCCTGCAACAGTTCGAAATTATACTTTTCATCGGTGGCGTGTTGGTCGACTATGAAAAGGTCATCGTTTAGTTTCGTAACGATAAAACCCATATTAAATTGGCCGATCACTTCCATGTTTTTGAAATCGTTTTTGGTTATGTGCCTGTTCAATTCGTCTTCGGCGCCCTTGTTGTTTCCCGGATCAATACCAAGTCGGAACTTCACTTTGACCTCCTGTTCTGCAGGCGCGCCGGAACCATTTTTAAACCTTTTTTTGAAGAAATCCATGTTCAGTTTCAAAGGAACCTCCTTTCTATTCTTAACGTACTGCGAAGGACTGTCTAAGGTAACTTCAACGTTCTTCTCGGAAGTCAAACTAACCAAGTTTTCTGTGCAATCTTCCTTGGTCAATTTGCAGGCAATATTGACGAAAGAGTCTAAACTTTTATCCACCTGTTCCACGAGGTCACTTTCAAAATCGTTTTCACGTCCCGTACTCCCACCTGCCTCTTCAGATTTGCTTTTCTTCTTGAACTTGTCCAATATACTGACCACCTTTAATTGACCGTCGGTCATGTTGCGCTTTATACCACGTTTCGAGCCGACCGCATCCAGGTTCTGCATGACGTACGTCGACGGAAAATGCTTGAACCCTTCGACAAGGGAAGCTTTCACCACAGCCAGAAGTAACTTTTCTTTCTCGATGAATACTTGCCTCTTGTCTGGCGTTATATTGACATCGACCAGTGCAGTTTTGGTCGTGACGTTCAAATACACGAAAGGATACTGTTTGTTGTTGAATTGCCTATAGATTTCGTTAACTAGTTTCATTAATTTGGAGGGTTCGCATGGTCTCGAATTTATATAATAAAATTGACGATCCGCCGAGCTACGGCCACTGCCGTGCATAACGCTGGATACCAAAAACTGGAAATCAAAGGGCAATTTCTCGCCAGGAGCTAAAACGAGCGCGTACTCTTTTAAAATTGGTTCCTCCGGTACGACTAACTCGACATCGATCAGAGAAGACAACTGCTTCACCCCGAAAACACTGATTATGTTCTCCCTAACTGTTTTGTTACCTTCTGTTGCCACGATTGTACTTTTAGTACCGTTCTCTGTCACATTTGTACAAGTAAATCTAAAATGCCATAACAGCAATTCCAAATCTACCCTAGCTATAGGACACTTACTTTATACCGTTTGGAATCAGGCAATAGGCATATAACAATGTACACATCTTAGTAAATTCCTTTTTTAAATTTTTTAAAAACTCTTTCCGTCTCACGGGCAACGAAGAGAACAAGTTCTTTATGCTAACAGTTGTTCCTTGCTGTCTGGCAGTAGATTCCTGTTGTATAATAATGCCATTACGGTCATACTGAACTCGAGTCCCCAGCTCAGTGGAGGCATGTTTTGATGTGACGGTGACATCGGATAAAGCGCAGAGCGAACTCATGGCTTCTCCCCGAAAGCCCAGAGTACCGATATTTTCCAAATCGCTAAATTTTCGCAGCTTAGAAGTGTAGTGTTTTTTTGCTTAGAAAAGAAAGCGGACGGTACTATTTGTGCCGTTTTAAAATTTATATTTTAAGAAATGTAACAAAGATAAAACTTACTGAGAAGTTCAAGGTTGTCTCTATGAATTCCTACCCCGTTATCTAGCACTTCCAGTACTTCCGAACCGTAATTTTTCAAATGTATGTCTATTATAGATGCCTCTGCGTCGACGGAATTTTCTACTAGCTCTTTCATCGCTATCGCGAGGCTCAGCACCACCTACAACAAACATGAAAAATTTAAAGAGCGGCGAATATTGCTTCGCGTTTTACCTGTCCGGAACATATTTTGTGAACGGTTTCCACGTTTATAGGTCTAATTTCAGCGTTTTCTTCGAATAGAGCCATTGCTTCTCAAAATTTTACTTTCATATTATATTCCAACCTCACAAATTTCAAAAAACCGCCCGAAAGCACAGATCCACAGCAGCATGTCGGAGGTCTGTGACGAATGCAAATGGCATTGCTCGTGCCTAGATGGCGCCACAATTAAAATTAAGAATGTTGGGCATACGTCAAGTGTTGCGTACTTTTGAAAATGGTAATTATTTTTCTGGATAAGCGTCCAGACTGATTATATTCGCAACGAATGGTTGTGGCAGCGAATGCTGAAACGATAATTTTTCATGGGGTTAGTGACATTAATGTCGAATTTCGTTTCGAAAACATCGCGTGATTAAATCGGTAGCAACCTGCCGAATTATGCACTTTAATATATATTTGGCACGCGCGTGTTGGCGTCGTGCGGCGTCGCGACGAACGAGCGGGCCGCCGAAGAGCGCCTCTGGAAGGCATTCTTCCGCGACGTCCAACAGTGAAGACGCGCAGTAGTTGATGTAACGTCGTCAAGCAACGTGGTCGCACGATCCCCATCAATGACGCCTGGAACTACCGCCGCCAAATTTCAAAGGTGAGAAACAGTTTTGTTGCTTGTTATCAAAATTAATATTCTTGGTAATTTATAATGTTGTCGTTTCGCATGCTTCACATATGTTTCGTGCATATTTTAGCTCGGAAAACTAATCTTTCGAATAGAAACCTAACGCTAAAATAGGATTTATCAAATATGACACACAGTTTAATGGTTGGTAAGAAAAACACTAATAAAAAATTATTTATAAAAATACAAAAAAATCCCTGTCAATAATTTTTGACATTTTTTGTAACATGAGTAACGGGTTCTTTGTTGTAAAATTAAAAAGTTCTTTTTATCTCCAAAAATGTTCTAGATAGGTATGGTACATGTTAAAAAAGTTCCAGAATGTTTCGCAGAATCTAAAAATCTGATAATATACAGGGTGTTCCATTAAAAAAACGAAAATTAATATATAATAATATAGCTAGCTCATTTCGATTACATATGTAAACAACATTTCAGGATTTTACCGTAAGTCATTCTGTGAAATGTTTAAAATGAACTTTACGTAGGTCTACACCACACCGCGTAGCGTGTTAAATACAATATATTGGGTAATTAGAACCTTGATATAAAATACACCCTCCACCTGAAATTATCTACTAAATTTGTCTCGCCATTTTTGACAAATAATTATTAAGGTCCGTTAAATTTGGAGAGGTTATCATTTTAAAAAAGCTAGAATTGCATTTGAGATCACGGTTTTCTCGTGATTCCACTAGCACAAAACCAAGAATAAGTTATATTAATTTCACTGTGCTGTAGTATGTTATCTGTATTTCGAAAATTTCTCAAGCGCAAAAGGAAAAATAACAAAATTATCCCTAACATTGAGTCAAATTGTTTTGTCTATCGAAACCCACCAGAAAAACCGTTAACATCTTGGGGCAGTTTACACTTCACCTCATCTACCTCACAAACCACGTAAAAGACGCGGGGCTCATTGGGCTCATTGGAGTCGACTGTTTGTAGGGACGCTCTCATCCCCAAAACTAAACTAATTTCATTCGGGAGAACGATTTTATGTGACTCGAGGAAAAGCTTAAATAAAAATCGGTTTTTGTATAAATCCCACCATAAACCATAACAAACAATAGTTTTGCATTGGTCGGTTTGAACTCTTCATTATCTGACTAGTAGCGAAAAATAACGAGAGAAAAAAGTGGTCATAATGAAGTGGGGAAATGTATCCGAATTATATAAAAACAATTATTTGTAAAAAATAGACAAAAAAAATTGGTAACTGTAAAACTGAAAAAGGTGTAAAGAAATTTTTTTAATAAAAAAAATATATTTTGAAAAAAATGTCATTGTTTACATTTACCCCAAGAATTTCGGGGCAATTATAAATATCTGAACATTTGAACTACAAGAAGGTTTTGTTAGCACATGTTAACATTTGCCCTTACATATATATATATATATATATATATATATATATATATATATATATATATATATATATATATATATATATATATATATATATATATATATATATATATATATATATATATATATATATATATATATATATATATATATATATATATATATATATATATATATATATATATATATATGTATGTATGTATGTATGAATCAATATTTTAGAAGGTTAGAAGCTGGGTAGACCAACTTTTTAAGCAAATGTGGGAATTTTTTACATTAAAGAGTCTTAAAGCTAACAAAGTAGTAGACATAAAAAAACAAAAAAAAATTTATATAATAATTTAAATAACACTTCTCAAATTTGCTCATTTTTTATAAACTTATGTCATTAGCATTGACAGCAAAATTCTGCTCACTGTCCACAATATTTTCAACAAAACAGATGTATTTAAATATTGAAGTGTTTCTCTTTCCCCATTTAAAAGTAACGAAAGCAAAAGAACTGGTTTTTAAATCCAAAAAATTCGTCGGATTTTATGCCTATGAACTCATCTTCTGGAAAAACTTCAGTGTCAGTACTAAGACATAAAGATTGGCCACTATCCCCGTCGTCACTGCTTTTACTTTTAGGTGGATGTTTCTTTTTGATTCCAGAACCATTATTTTTTACTGCTCTTTTATTTATTTTTTTAGTCTTCTGTGATTTTTTTCTTGTGCTGCTTTTAATCTGTTTAACACTTGTTCTGTGGTCAAAACTTCGCCATAACTAAGAGCTTTTACTATTGGTACTACAACCTTCTTTGACTAAGTATTGGACTGCTCTATTGTAGGCATATTTTCTTTTTTTTTTTTCGTTTTTTTAAGTTAAGTTTTGATCATTATTAGACTCTTGTGAACGATTTTCTGATATATCCTGTGATATAATTGTATCTGACATGGTTTTGCCTGGATACTTACGCTCATTTTTTTGCAGTGCCACTATTTCAGATACAATTGAATCAGCTTCAGATGTGTTTAGCCAAATTACTGGTGTGTTCTTTGTTATAGGTGGTATCTGGTTGATTTATATCAACTTACAAACGGCTAAAAATTATGGCGCAAATAAATGCACAGAAGTTTAGGAATTTCAGTTTATTTTTTACGTTTAATTTTCCAGGTTAGGCACACGAATTGTGAACAATGTTACAAATTTGCATATGATAATCGTACAATATTTATTCCTAAACCAGTTAATTGTAGAGAGTTTTGAGGTTGGAAATATGACCTGATTAGATATCAGAATTTGGTATTTTTTATTTATTTTATTTATTCATTTATTTATTTATTTCCAACAACATTAAGTGCAACATAACATTCCCCAACCATAACATCGTGCACTATGGACTCAATAGTTTGCATTTTTTTTATCCTACAGGTCACGAAATATACATTGCAGGAAATATTTTTTTGTTTTAAATATTTTATGATTTAAATATTATTAATTATAAGAGATACAAATTATGTACATTATAGCAACTTTCAGGTTATGACATTGGAGAAGAATTAATTGGTTTTATAACATTTTGGAGTGATATGTCGTTCCTGTAAAAGTTATTTTAAATTATTACTATTAAATTAAATTGGTTTTCTTGGAAGTTAACATTCTTATCATTCCCAAACACCATAACAAATGATTTACTTGTATTATGTTTTAAGTTGTGGTCTTGAGACATCTGATTTAAAGTTTGATGGTTATTATTTGTGTGTCATCCGCAAAACAAGCCATTTCCCTCTGTTCTTTCGATATCAAACTAACTGGCTTATTAACGTGGATATTAAAGAGCACTGGGCCAACCAAGGTACCTTGGGGGGCACCAGGATGGACTGTTCGATAGCTACTGAGGGCATTGTTAATTTTTACGGGTTTTATTTGACAAGTAAGTTTTGGTGAGCCGCTGTGTCAGATTTTAATACAAAACTTCGTTATGTATATTTTTTTTGTATCGTATCTTTGACAAAACAAAATGGAATGTTTATTTTCTGTATTAGCGATCCCCTTTAAAATAATTATTAGCGACGTTCTGTTTTCATTGTTATGAGAATCACTAGATTTGAAAAAAAAACATTTTTCGCTGGTTCTAAGCCTAAGAACTATTATAGAACCATTTTAATTTTGATTTAAATTTAAGAAACATATAAAAAAACTGTTCGTATCCAACGACATTTCCAATCACCCCGTAGTTTTATCGTTTCGTTGGTATCGGGGCAATCACGACGTTACTTTAGATTTCGAGGGACAAATTTCGAATATTAAAGTTTAATAAACCGGAAGGTGCTGTAAAAGTAAATATGGCCCTTTTTATACGACGTGAAAGCGGGAAAATCCCGCCAAATCGCTTCCGCCGCCATGTCAACTGCTTTTTATCAACAAACGGCCCCTTCTTTAAGTCTCAAACATGGCGAGACGAGACGCTTATGATAGGGTATTTTATTTAAAAAAGGTTAAAAATTATGCAAACTTCTAAAATTTACAAGCAATTGCAATTGGACTCTTTATATTCTATTTTTTGTGTACACATCGAGACAAAACCCGTATACATAAGAATTGTAATTAAAATGTGACAAAGGTTTCACACATAGTTTCACTTGTTCCAAAAATTAAAAATATGTCCGTATACTATTTTGAGAGTCAAAAAAGTACTTTGGAATATAATTTCTCGGTGTTAAACTAAACGTTTTTAGTATTGTTAAAATTTTAGTATTGCCTATGGAGAATTCAACATTGCTTTTAGGAAAATCCACTTTATTCCTGCTCTCAAAAATCATAAGATCGCGTTCAAAAGAAAACTAATTGTATCTGAGTATAAACGAGAAAGACGGTTCTAAGATGGAACCTTGTGGAAGCCCAGATGTAATAATATGTACCTGATAAGCTAAATCATTTAAACTAAAACATAATATTTTAATTTAAATATAGTCTGTCTCAATCTTCATCGTGTTGGTGTTCTATGGACATTTCCCAATAAAACTTTAACGATGTTATTACCTATTGCAAAAAATTTATTAAAATAAATAAGAACTAAAAGTTCGAATTTCGTGAAAATCTGAACTTTTAGTTCTTATTTATTTTGATAAATAGATTTTCATCAAGTAAAAGCCACCTCAGTTCAATTTTTGAAAGAAACTGAAATTGGTTTCTTGGCTATTTGGTATTTTAAATTACTTCTACGTTGCCGAATTAATAAATAAAATAATAAAATAATAAATAAACATTGCGAAGTTATTTCTATTTTGGACAAACTAAAAAATATGAAATCAATACAAGCAATATAGAGTTGGTTGTAAAATGGGATTTAAGTACCGCAAAATGGACAAAGTATTAATGGAATCAATCATTTGACATTTAATTACCTTCAAGAAATTAAAAGATATAGAAAACACAACAGATCTATAATTTACCTTGTTCGATACACACTATCCGAGGGATCGGTTGATTCTGTTCAAAACTGTCAGACGAAAGCACCTTAGGTAAGGTAGCGTTCTTATTCTTAATCCGAATTTTCTATCTCTACTGCAAAAGAAAATTTTTGATCTTTATAAATGCACTTCTGGCTAAAAGAAGTCGCATAGATGACTTTTCATTTCATGAGACTGCTCCATTGTTTCGTGTAGCCATGTTCCTAAGTATTTGTATTTTCTTGCTCTTTATATCGTCGTATTGTCTATAGTAAGAATTCCGTTAACATTTATTTTCTTTGTAACAATCATGGTGTCGTCCGCATAACGTAAGTTGTTTAAAATCTGTGCTTTTATGGTAACACCCTCTGTCGTTCACCTATAGTTCCACTGAAAATTGCCTCAATATATACGTTAAAGTGTAGCGGAGAAAGAATATAGCCCTGACGCACGCGTAGCAGAATCTCCACTTCATCTGTAAACTGATCTTCAATTCTGACTCTTGCTGTTTGGTTCCAGTAAAAATTCGCTATGATTCTAATGTCCCGACTATCAATATATTTCTATACGTTTCAACAAAACAAGCATACACATATTGGAACAGAGTCTCTCTAGTCCCCATATCCTTTCTCCAGACCAGTCTCCTCAGCATGGCCAAGAATAAGTCCAGTCCGATCCTCATTGGAAAGGTCTAATACTGCTGAAATAATACTGTCGTCAGAACTTCTCTATACATTGCTGTCATATCTTCGCTCGTATTCTTCCACTTCATCACACTTCCTCCTTCTTTGGCAGATTTGATGCTTTTATTTTTATTCTTACGCGTTTCGTCCATTAAGCATAATATTTCCTCTGTCATCCAAGCATGTCTCGAAAATGGTGGCAGCCCTTACTGTCGCCTCTCCTTAGATTGTAGTTCTGTGCTTAAACCTTGTCGCTCGCTGCAACTCCAATGGCAATAACTGCGATCGGGCCGAACGATGATGCCAATAAGGCACGATCGCATTCGACTGAAACGCCGAAAAATCGCGTCACCAAGATATAAATCTTCCGATGTCATTGGCTTCGTTTGGTGGGAAAAGCCTGCTTCGAATGTCCAGAGTTTTTATATACGCTTTTTTATACTCCGCTCCCTGTCTATTAAAATTGCTCTTTTGTTTTTTTTTTGTCGATTCAAAGCCAAGGTCCAGACATCGAGATGAACTTTGTACTCAATTAATCAATTACTCAATACTCTAAATATTTATTGCCTTCAATTAACTAAAATAATATATTTTTTTAATATACGAATATTAACAAGTAGCTACGCGGCATAACCTAAGAGAAAAACACGGTATAATAAAAAAAATATAATAAATAAGAAAGTCTCCTATTTAAAACTAAGACAAAATAGTATAAATTAACCAAGTTATCTCCAAAATAATCAATTTAAAAAAGAAAATAATGTAAAATTACTTTCATCAAGTGTACAGAAACTATTACTAAAAGAAAGACGAGGCACGAACGGAATAAAATCGCACAAAAAAAAGGAAAAGTATAAAATTACCCAAGCAGTTGGTTTTTATCACTTACGACATACCTATAAAATTAAACTGTATTTGAAATTTGTTTTATAACACAATTCCGATATATAAATAAAATAAAAATAAAATAAAGTTGTCAAATATATCAAATATTTTTTAATATTCTAGATACCAAATTATATTTTGTATGGAAATTATCGCCTTATGTTAATATTAATTGATATTCATTCTAAAGAAGTTGACACGTTTTCTAGCAATCGTAGTAATTAATTTCTCTAGCAGTTTTTAATATCTACTGGAAGAAGATTAGTACTTGTGCCATTTAAATTTAATTTCCAAGCTCAAGTTGGCTTTCAGAAGAACTGGAATTAACGTTTTGTTGTTCGAAATATGTGATGTTAGCTTCCAACTTAGCAGTAGGTAATGTCGCAACTATTTTGTTTTAAAGATAAATCTACAGAACATCTATAAACTGTTTTTATAAGTCACTCTCATAAAATATATCAGTTTCTAAAGCATATGGGTGACCTTAGAGGGCTTAATTTGCTCTCAAAGGAAGTAACACCTAAGGAAACATATAAATATAATACGACCAAAAATATAGTGCATTTATTACTTTGACGTTTTAAGTAATTTACAATACCAAAGACCTTCGCAGGACCGTGGTAAAATCCATCCCAAAAGATGTTTATTCTGCATTAAGTAAGTCTTGCCTGAGATGGACCGTAACGAATATTTGTAGAAAGTTGAATTTTTTATTTGAAACGTAAATGGACCATTTTAAATTTGATTAAGTATTGATGCTGTCGGCTAATTTCGAATAAATAAGTGGTATTTATCGTTCCTTAAAGTTTAATCTAAATTGCAATATGTTTGTATATATTACGAAGTGATCCTTCCAGTTAGTACGTATTTATACGAGGCTGTTTTCACTGGATAGTTCAAAGGGGAAGGGTAAGTATCTGTACTCTATTTATCTTACAGGTAAGTTTTGAAATAATCGTTTTTGTGTTGTGTGTATCTTCTTCGTAGTTCTTCAATTTGGAAACAACAAAAGTATTTTTTAAGATCATAGATTATATTCGCTGTAGATAAAGGTACGTCATAAAAATACAGAAAAATATTTATTAGAACCTTACAAATAGACATTTATTGAAGGCTCCAGTTTTTTAATGATAAAATGATAAATATGGAGACCGTGGAATGAAGCAGATGTTCCCCTGTTAGAAGAAGATATGGACATTGAGGAGTGGAGATGTTAGTCGAACCTAATGACAATGTAGAAGACGAACTACCTCAGCAAATAAAAAATTGGATCCATTTGTCGTCGGATGCTAAACAAATTGTTTTGAATGTTTACAATTTAGGAGCAGCAATTAAATAAATAAGTGACATTACCAAAGTTTCGAAGTCTACTATAAGAAAAGTGGTTGCAAATGGGAGAGTCAACGCTTATAAAGTGAATAGTGTTTTAACCCTAGAAGAACCGCATAAAAAAGTACTTTCAGACAAACATTAGTTGTGCCAAAGAGTCGTTGAGTAATTTTTTGAAGAAAATGGATTTTCAGTTCAAAACAAATAAACGTGACGACAGTAGCAATAGTGACAATTTTTGATTATTATTATATTTAATATTTTTTTGATTAATTATGATACTATGTAGAAATGTAATGCAATAGAACGTAATAAATTGTTACCTTGTACCTAATTTGTATATGTACAAGTTTCAAGAATTGTTAGTGTAGGTTGATAAATTCCTAGGACTATCCTGGAAGGGTTACGGGTAAGGGGCTGCGCTTTTGCAGCAAAGTTCATCATTAGATCGGTTATAAAAGCGCTATATTTCTGGTCGAAGTATAACTATTTGGTCGAAAATTTATGTGCCACTTCGGTACAACCTTGAAAACATGTGAAGTGACTTTATGTTTATCAATCTTCATAAATGCTTCAAAATCCTTGAGCATGTTGAATGTGTCATTAATAGGTTAAATGTAACTACTCAAAATAAAAGGAGACTTGTTAAACTCGTGATGTGATTTATTTAATAGTACGTTGTTTCTGGCTCGAGTGGTGTATGAGGGACGATCGCATAGTGTTTCTAGTTTACTTTGAGATTTAAAACTGAAACTAACTAATTTTAATAAAAGAAAGTACGTAATCCTGTTTGCAGAAAACCAACTCATCCTTTTGGCCAACCAGTTCTAGGACGTTTACGTGGCTGTTCTAGATTTTCCGCAACTAAAAGTTGAATCTGAAAGCTCGGTTCCTATAAAAAATTCCAAGGTTATCTTTAGTTAAAGTGAGCAATGCTTTAAAGCATGTCTCGCGCAAAATATATTTCGTTTAATGTCTTAAACATCCGGATTATTAGAATCTTTTTAAAAGCTATACAAATTCAGCAAATACACATTGCTGTAGCATTTATTAATGCAAAAAATGTGAACATTTACCAACACCTAAAATATAAAAGAAAAAGAACACCCACACGCAGTGCTTACACCTACCGACATAGAACGATAACGAAAATAGTGCAAATAAATGTCAATAAGACTAACAATTAGGACTTACCAAGCTATTATTTAAAAAAAATCTGTAAGTTTTGTTTGTTTTATACTGCATTGTCTTGCTTGCATTGTGCGTTCTTTCATGGTACGTAAGATAGACAAAACATTCAGTTCAGCGCCAATTTTTTCTGCCCACTGCATACATGTACCAATAGCTTCCTCATGTTTAATTTTTAGATCAATACTAACACCTTGACAGAGAGTTTTGACAACAAAAGACCGAAGGGGTGTCTATAAATGCAAAATTTAACAATCGCGTATTTAAAAATAAAAAAATTGTTATCGTATCGCACAGAAAAGTCGCAGCCATGTTGCCAAAGAGCAGCCACTAGCGTGTGCCGTTCAGCTGTACGATGGTGGTCACCAACGGGCAGGATGATCAGAACGGCAGCAACGAGTTCGATCGGAAAACCAACAGCACCGCGGACGTGGGAGGGGAAGCAGCGGCGGGAGGCGGTGAGAACAATTGCAAGCAATCCCCGTGCAAGAACTCTGGTGTGGCCGTGCGTCGACGATTTTCGCGTTGTAGTAATGGCTACGGCTTTCAGGTAACAAAGAAACATCGAAATTGGCCTACAAGCCGAACAAGGACAACGTTACCAGGGTGGTGGTGGTGGGTCTGACGCCGGAGAGGAGACGGGAGACGTGGAACAAGAAAGTCGAGTTCCTCTTGGCAGTCGTCGGGTTCGCGGTAGACCTGGGCAACGTCTGGAGGTTCCCGTACATTTGCTACCAGAATGGAGGGGGTAAGTCCACCACCTATCGCATCATATATCACAAGTTTGTGCGGTCCAAAACTTCCTGTTTCTTCTTCTTCAGGTGCCTATTCGTTTCGAATATTAGCGATCATTCTGGTTATGATGACCTTGTTCACGGCTGCTCTAAATAATTCAGTGGTTGTTTTAGAAAACCATTAAGAACATGGTATTCTTCGTCTTCCAGGGCCTATCTTACCGTAAACTTTTCCTTGGAGTATTTCTTGAGTATTCGCTATCGTTTCGCATTAGGTACTCAAGTTTTCTTCTCTTTGTAGTTCATTTTCCTTGTTCATTCTCTGCAGTGCTGACTCATTTGATACGCCGTCCATCCATGAGATCCTCAGAATTCTTTGGTGCAACCACACTTGAAATGCTTCCAGCCTTTTTTGTGTTGCTTCGGACAGTGTCCACGGCTCCACCCCATAGAGGAGTGTCGAGAAAACGTAGCATCTTAAGAGTCTGATTTTAATGTTCAGGTTGTGGCTTTTCTGCACTTAATCTCTTGAGAATGATCCCATTGTTCATTAATTGTCGTTCCCAGATAAGTGAACTTAGGAACCCATTCCAGTGATCTCTCTCTAAGCAAAGCTTCCAATTCACCGAAATTAGAGTGCCTGGTGTTCCGCAAGGCTCACACCTGGGACCCCTACTCTTCAATGTCTATGTGAATGATATTGCCTCATGTTTTCATCATGCATTTTTCCTATTATTTGCTGACGTCCTAAAATTCTATATGAGAGTCCAAAATGCTGATTACCGTATAAAACTCCAATCCGATTTAGATCACCTATCGCTATGGCGCGATTTTCACTTCAGATCGGTGTCAAAGAGTATTCTTCAATAACAGCTATTCCAATTATGTAAATATTCGCAAAGGTGTAGTATTTTAGGTCCGATGCTGTTTTCCGTTTGTACCTCCGACTTCCGTAAATTTATTAAGCATTGTTCCTCCCATCAGTACGCAGACGACACTCAAGTATATCTTTCTTTTAATTACTCTCAAATTAATACCGCCGTTAATAATGTAAACAGTGACCTACTACGTGCCCTCAGTGATATTTCTAGTAAGCATGGTCTATTACTTAACGAAAATAAGACTCAACTTATAATTTTTGGTAAAGATAAAGGAAAAATAATTAGTCTAGACGCTGCCAAAATTTATTTAAATGACCTTCTCTTACGGCCGGTTGCCGAATGCAAAAATCTGGGTCTGGATTTGGATAATAATTTGCGTTTTGAATGTCACGTAGCTTCATTGATCGTACTGAATGGTAGTTTACTGGAATGCCCTACTTCAAAAGGACAAGGTTAGTCTTCAGCGTCTCAAAAGAATCATAAGGGTAAAATAAAATAACAAATAGAAACAGTTCCGTAATATTTCGTTGTTTTATCTGTTTTTGGTTTTAAACGAAAAAATAAATAGTAAGTATCAACTGTAGAAAGCCTATGATTTGGAGTGCAACAAGCCTCAGACCATTACTGCTCGTGATATCACGCCATTTATCCATGGTCATGGTTTATAAGATTGGGCATTATTATAAGCTTTTTATTCCTATTTCGTGAATTTTTGAGATGACATAATTACATTTTTGTGAGGCGTAGTTATTATAGATCAGATTCTAACAATATTAAAGATTTGTATGTTCAATATAAATTTCAATACAAAGAGTGGTAAAAGAAATGATGTATCAAAGAGACTGTTTGTGTAAAAGAGCGGTAGGTACTTGAACAAAATGATGATATATGGCGTGTCTACAAAAAAGAGAGAAATCGCATTGTAAGCTGCATTAGATTAGAAAAAGACAGATATTTTAAAGATATTATTGATAAAAATAAAACCAACTCTAAAGAAATGTCGAAAAATTGAAAATAAATAAATAAATAAAAAAAGGTATTTTTTCCCGATGAGTTTGCAGTTTGGCCAGCAAACTGTTTCATTTAAGCATAGCTAAAACTTCTACTTCGAACATTGTTTGAATCATATACAGGGTGTATCGTTTATGGGCAAAAAATCTAAAACATCCTAAAAGTTTCCGTTTTTGTGGGTAAATTATTGGCGATAAATGAAAAACCGTTCAAGATGGGATAATTCTATTTGAACAGTATCGTAAACTGTGTCGAGGGAGTGTTTCAGGTTTCGTCAATTATACAGGGCGCGAGATATTTTAAAAAATATCACTGAACTACGCTATTATTTGTGCAAATTTTAATATTTACCGATGTTTGCCTAATTTTGAAGTTCAACGAAATGTGAAGGACACTTTATGCAGGGCGCACGTACAAATAAATTACACCGATTTTGATAGAAAAACAATGCGTCCCTCGAGGACAAAATCCCCGAATTGGATTCTTTTTGAAATTAAAATCTCGTCCGCGCGCGAATTTGCCCCGCCCAGCGACGATTTTTCGAAAGCAATCTTGTTTAAATCAGGGCCGTTTTTTTTTTTCATCCGACTAGTTAAACTAATTTCCAATGAAACAACAACTTAATTTTCGAAAGTTCTAGCGACAGATCCAGCTCTAAACAGGATTAGTTTAAAGATCTGCAGCGTGTGCAACGTTCGAAAATGAAATTAAATCCTTTTGAAAGATCAACCGGTTAAACTTGAATGTAAACTAACGAGCGGCCGGATAGGACTTCGATCTTCCTCGTAGCGAACTTAAACTAATCAAATCGAAGACCCGCGTGCGTATATGGATTCGCTGAGATTTAATATTTGCCTAGCTAGTTCGAGCGTATCGAATTACGCAGGAGATTAATAATATTATAGAGTCGTCTAGGACCTGGTCGGATGAAAAGGACGAGTTTCGGTAAACTTTTTATTTGATCTTAAGCCTCCTTAATGGGAATTATACGGGTCTAGGTGGTGCTTTACTTCTATAAGAGCACACGTTCAATTTTCTGCCTTTTCTATCTGCAGGGCGTCCTTGTCCTATCCTAGAAGAGTCCTGTATGCTGCAAGAAGTCGTTGGGAATTTGGATAGTCCATCGGGTTATGAGATGAATTGGAGTTTCTGCCTCTTCTAAAAACAAGCCCCGTGATGTGAAGGTGTCTTCTTATAACACAGCGTCCTGATAGAGGAGGCGACTCTGGGAGCTGTCATCACCTACGCATGATGTTTTTGCTGAGACGCATTTGCTAACGTTTCGTCAATCATCCTGTCGGCTTCTTCAGAGCTTGACTGAAACTGGCTCGCATTTTATTCTGTACCTGCTTATATATTGTTTGAGGAAAAGATTCAAGATATTCTTGCAGGTGGATGATATCGTCGACTTCCGATGCTACGTTATTTATAGAACATAACTTTAAATCTGTTATTAAAACTTCCTCTCTATCAGACTTCGTGAAAAAATACACAAAATACCATATTCAGATTTACCACAAATCTCTCAACATCTTCTATCTGTCAAAGACAAAATTCCATTTGAGATTCCAGGAGTTTACAGCATTCCATGCATATGCGGCAAATAATACATTGGAGGGACCGGACGGAAAATATCGACTAGGCTTGAAGTACATAAGAGAGCCTTAAGACTAAGACAAATAAAAATAAAATTTTTGCATGTAATCAATTTCTCTACCAACAAAAACTCCGAGAAATCTAAAAGCAATCTTAACCGCGACTCAGGTCTTTACATATCACCAATATGGGAATATGCCATCGGAGACGATGTTTATGCCGGTCACTTAGCTCCGCCCTCCTCAAACAATATATAAGCAGGTACAGAGTAAAATGCGAACCAGTTTCAGTCAAGCTCTGAAGGAGCCAACAATATGATTGACGAAATGTTAGCAAGTTCGACTTAACCAAAAATAACGCAGGAGGAATCCAGAACTATTACAGTGGCCTGCGGAAGTTTCTTTAAAAAATTAAGTACTCTGTCCGGCAGGAAGCACAATGGGCCTGCTGAGGCCTAAGTGCTTTAATGTAGGCTACCCTCCTCTTCGTACACATTTTTGGCAGCGTTTGTAGTCACTTATGACTGGGACTGGGGTGATGAAGCGTAGATGGTCCCCTCATTAGAACAGTAGCCAGATATTTGTGCCCTATTTTCTCTCTGGTACTGAGTCATTCGTTCTTTGTTGAGACCCACGTTCTGTATGATGTACGAAAGCATTGTCCTTCTTCAGATACAGACAGCAGTTATGGGGGCCTTTCTGTCTTCGGCATCGATCCTCTTTCTTTTAATACTATTGTTCCCATCAACTTCGGGACTCTTATGAGGTCTCTTGAGGGTTTGGAGGTGCATCGAAGCGATTTTAGATATGATGAATATGATAATGTATATGTTATTTATCAACGAAATGTTGTGTGTGGAGCTGCCAACTATTGGTTCATCTCGTTCGTTATGTTCGTTATGCACTATGCACCAGATCTGGAGACAAGTGTATTATGATCGGCAGCTCTCGAAACTCAGCTTATCAGTATAATCTTTTAACCCTAAAGAAACCTCCCAGGTTGGGTACAAACAAACAAAAACAATTTTTGAGGGTTTGTGATTGTGCTTAATTCAATCCGTCCTATTTTGCAATATCAGCGTAAATAAATAAAATATAGGAAAAATAAAAAAATGTTCTAGGTAAAGTATCAAAAGGTAACTGTTTGGATAAAAAAATGATGAGCTGATATCTGCAGTTTTGATGCGGTTTTAGGTACGATATGTGTCGAAGAAGCCGATTGTTACTGGAATCTGTTTGAATAAAGGAAGAAAAACCTACTATCAATCTAAGAAAGTGGGTTTTTAAGTAGTTATCTGCAGTTTTAATGTAGATTTCACTCCGGTAAATTATGAAAATGCAGCTTTTGACTATAATCTGCTCGAAATCAAGAGCGAATTATTTGTCACAAAAAGAGGGGTTTTAAGTACACATCTGCAATTCTAAGTGACAGATTTCTAAAATACTTTTATTTTTAGAATAACTTTAAATTTCCTCCAAGTTTCCGAACTCAATTTCCGAACACCCCGTATACAGTCTATTTCACCT